AATGCTTGCCAAACTCAGATGTTCTTCTTCTCATAAGCACAATCTTCTTTGAAAGCTTGACAGTGCCACCACTTTTAGGACATAAGGTATTGATATTGTTGTTATCTTCTCAAAAATTTCAGGTCCAAGAGAAAAAGGTGAAAAAAGTGTGCAGCATGAATTTAGACCCTTCAAAAGCAGTGGGGAATGGTCCAGTTGTTTCTCCAAGCATGTCGATCTCCCCGAAACATCATATGGCTAATGGACGATGTGGCGAAAAGTCCTTCGGGTGTTCGAGCAATGACTTCTCAATCCCATCTGATGGAGTGCCATCCCTACATTTGCCCGTGGTAGTTGTACTTGTTTAATTTACTTGTATTCTGGCCATAACCTTTCTTTTTTGGAGTCCGAGACAAAACTTGGAGACAGTGAAGTGCTAATGTATATTTTACATGTGGGATAAGTTTAGCAATTGCTGTAGTTTGGTAAGTTCATTTTAGATCTGCAGTAGTAAAACCTGATGCTTGTGCGATGTACAGGTAACCAGTCATGAGACAAGCCTTGTGGCTAGATGTCGAAGAATCTATGCTCATGCCCATGACTACCACATTAACTCCATATCCAACAACAGGTGCATTAACTGCATGTGATTGCATTGATATTCTTTTTTGCCCCTTAATCCAGATTTCTCTTTCATATGCTTGCATATTGTTTGCTCTGTTTCCTGCTTCACATTGGATATTGTAGAATAGGAGATTCTTGACTGATCGAAGTTTTCACTAACACTGCCTTTATATTGATCACATTTCCTGAAAGGAAATTTGATGTTAAATAATAATTAGGTTAGGGGCACCTTTTAATAGAGAGAAGTTTATGTTAATAACGTGAAGCCCCAGCCATCCACCCTGAAAACGCAGTTTCTGTGTGGCGAAATGAAATTTCTGGTTTTTTTTGGTTTGCAGTGACGGTGAAACTTTCATATCAGCTGATGATCTGAGAATCAATCTCTGGAATTTGGAAATTAGCAATCAAAGTTTTAACATTGTCGATGTGAAGCCAGCAAACATGGAGGATCTAACTGGTAAAACTCCACAGTCTGGATCTGAGTATTGTTTTTCTCATTTACTGCAATATACACCACACTGCTGTTCACATGGTCACATGTTGATTAAGACATCAAACAAGAAGGCTGAACGTTCACCTTCTCATGTCGCTTCTTTTAACTACTCTTGCAGAGGTGATAACTTCAGCAGAATTTCATCCATCCCACTGTAACACGTTGGCATATAGTAGCTCGAGGGGCTCAATCCGTCTTATTGATATGCGACAGTCAGCTTTATGTGATAGACATAGCAAATTGTAAGCAAACTGCTATATTTTTACATAGACCATTTCTTGGAAAATGTATTGTCAAAAAAGAAGAGTCAAAGTCAGTTATAGCGCTTTATCTTTATAAGAAATGTGTTGGGTGTGACAGTGAATCATACCTGTTGGACTTGACAGACTTTAATTTGAATAAACTTAAGTTGAGCTATCTTTCTCTGCCTTCTTGGACAGATTCGAGGTACAGGAAGCATCTGGGTCAAAGTCCTTCTTCACTGAAATAATTGCCTCAGTATCAGATATTAAATTTGCTAAAGATGGAAGACATATACTCAGCCGCGATTACATGACTCTCAAGGTTTATGCTCTTACAATAGCCTTTTTGGCATCCTGTGGCAATTGAAAAAGTTGTGATGTCATATTCGAGTTTCAGAGTGCCGTACATTTTGAGAAGCAAAGAATAAACACTACACAATTCTAGAGCTTCCTACCATTCAGTTTGCATGTGCAAATTGTCAAAGTCATATTGTGGAACATTGTTCTTTTCCCAATGAATATGATTTTGATATAGATAATTGTGAATTGACGGGTGTTTAGCTTGAGGGTATAGGTGTTTGGATTCTATCATGCTATTCCCATCTTCTCAGGAGTATTGAAAATATTAATTATTTTAGAAGGTTGCTACCCTGAGGTCATCCGATTATTCTTCTTCAGATTCCCTGTCACCACGTGTTTTTCCTGTTCCTTGTCATTTTCTCTTGCCATATTCAGAAAAAAGAAATGAACTTTTTGATTTTGGACAATCTCTCTGGTAGCGTCTTCTTTTTTGGAATGTGATTTCTTCCTAGTGTTTTTTAGCATTCTTCTCGATGTCACTTTTTTCCTTTACTTCTCTCAGCTCTGGGACATAAATATGGATTCTGGACCAGTTGCAACTTTCCAGGTGCACGAACATTTGAGGCCAAAGGTGATATATTTCCAAAAAAACATCCTCTTTCGCTCATAGATAAGAGGTTGATGGAGCTTATTCTCTTTTTTTGCCCAATGGTCAGCTGTGTGATTTGTACGAGAATGATTCCATCTTTGACAAATTCGAATGCTGTTTAAGTGGAGATGGGCTCCGAGTGGCGACCGGTTCTTACAGGTTCACTTTGCATATTCTACTTATGATGATATTGATTTTGAAGCTGAAGTTTGTTGCCCATAGTATATTATTGCTGCTTGACTGTATGCTTACCATCTTTTCAGCAACGTGTTTCGTGTATTTGGTTGTTCTCAAGACAGCAGTGAAGCAACAACACTGGAAGCTACCAAAAACCCCATGAAGTAAGTCTCAAAGAGAGCTAGTGAATGATGAGAACTAGTTAAAGATATGAAAGCCAAATGAGGAATCTCAAAGTGTATTAAATAGCCTTCGCACGACTTAACTGGAATCTCTCTTTATTCTCGTGGATTCTGATATGCCATATATATTCTTAGCCAGATATACATGCTCTATATGAATTGCCATTTTTAATCTCTAATTTCGTATGCCCCCAGGAAACAAACCCCAGCGCCATCTAAGCCATCTAGATCTCTTGGTCTAACTCGTGTTGTCAGAAGAGGTACCTTCTTGCTAGTGCTTTCAATCTCATGTTTTATTTGTCCATTTTGTTCCGAGTATTGGAGCATCTGCAGGTGTTTAGTTGATAGTGAAATTTCTATAGCCTTTTGCTAAACAAGGTTGTTACATATTGCCTTGTCACTTGGTAGCTGAAATCCCAGCTATTGCTAAGTTTGCTGTTTTATCAATTTTCACCATCGCGGTGACCATATGTCGAAAGTTTGCTCCTTTTGGAAAATGAATTTTGTGGACTGTGCTAATGAAGGTCGTTTTTGAAAGTGCTTGGGCTGGCTATCGGTTGCTTTGTTGGGATTACCTAGTATGCTTATGTTTCTTTTACAAACTGAGTTCCTGCTAATATCTTGCATTTGACTTCAAAAGGACCAGAAAACTCTGGAGTTGATGCCAATGGAAACCCTTATGATTTCACAATGAAACTGCTGCACCTGGCCTGGCATCCAACTGAAAATTCGCTAGCAATTGCGGCTTCAAACAGCCTCTACATGTACTATGCATAGTGGTGGTATAAATGAAACTTTAGCACGAAGCATACAGCACATCTTAGCACGAAGCATACGGCGCATCTTTGCCGATCGTTTTGTAAGTTCCCTCCGGACAACGACAACTAACAGCAATCCAACAATACGGTCGGACGGTTACTTCTCAAAGGAACAGACTTTCTGTTTTGCTTTTCCATTATAATTCTTTTGTAAGGTAAAAAAGAGACAAATTGGTGGCATTCATCAGATCGGAGACGTTTCTTCCGACACCAAGAACAGAGAAGCGAAACATGGAAGTGAAACGGTATGTTACTCTCTCACCCACATCTGAGGAAGCTGTTTTCTGGTGCATCGGTTCTAATCGATACGCAGGGCAAGAACTCTGTATAATTTGTAGTTAGAAGAAGTCGAGAGATTTGGCAAATCCTATGTAATGTTAAATTATAGTTGTCTCTCCCACTCTAACAATTCCTTCTTTATTTAAAAGGAGCTTGCCTTTTGTGATCTTTCTTCTTGAATAAATGGGACATGTGGGCTTTTTGAAGTGGAGAAACCCCACGCAGGTCCTTCCATCCAGCACCAGCATAGAAGACTCTTTGTATTTGAGTCCCCTTAAAGCTGAGTTTAGCTTTGGCTTATTGTATTGCTGAATTTGTTTCATGTTACTGTTATGGATGACTGATCGGATACAGAACCTAGAAGATCAATGAGGTTAGCTAGATCTGCTGAATTTTGTTTTCATATTATCCTCGATGAAAACTTGCTATTCCAAAATGATGTGCGATTGCAAGCGTCGTGAGCCGATCGGATACTTAATTTGCGGAATCGATCAGTTCATGCATGAATAAGTTTGTTCCTTCAAAATCAAAACGCACAAACTTGCGATTAGAAGTTAGTACAACTTTGGAAAGGTGCATGACGTGGCCCCCATGCCATACTTGTGGTGAATCCCATTGCTTTTCTTTTTCTTGGTAATTTTCTTGTTTCCGTAAATAATCAAAGGTTGAAACCATCAAAAAAATCTCGAATCATTAAATTTGTGCCACCTTAACCTTAAATTAATTTTTTGTCACAAAAAATTCCTAAGCTGGTGCATTTATGCCACCTCTACTACAAATTAATTTTCTTGTTACAAAAAATTGCCAATTGATATATTCGTGACAAACATATCCTTCGCTAGCTTCTGTCCAATATCACCAGTAAATTGCCGACATGGAAACGCACATGCGGTGTAGCAAATTTCTCAATCCAAAGTCTGGGTGATTTGGGATTTCTCATGAGATGAAAATCGGTCTAGAGCTAAATTGCGGCGTGGATGTGCGAGTTTTGAAATTTTTAATGAATCGGTTTTGGATTTTTTATAATACGAAATTAGTTGGGGCGTAACTTGTCACGGGTATGTCGAAGTTTTCGACATTTTTTGCGGTATTATTTCAAAGACAAGTGAAATTAAAGGTGGGAAGGGAAAAGAAAAGAAAAAGGAAGCATCGCATGAAACCGCCCTGAATTGTTGGAAAAGAACAAAGGAACAGATGAACCATGAGAAGCCACCTCACCCTCGTCTTCCTAAGCAGTCTTAATTTCTTAAATCACATTTGTAAGATCTCTCTCTCTCTCTCTCTCACTCTCCCTCCCTGCGTGCGACAATGGCTCTCCTCGCGAAGACCGCCCGCCTCTCGCCGCACCTCCGCGCCCTCTCCCTCCACACCACCGCCCCTTCCCTCTCCGCCGCCGCGGCGGCGGCCCGGCGGCGGGGCCGCGCCCACTCCGGCCCCCTACGCCCGCGCCCCGCCTCCCTCCGCCTCCTCGCCGCCCCCGGGCCTCTCCAAGGCGGCGGAGTACGTGATCTCCAAGGTGGACGACCTCATGAACTGGGCCCGCCGCGGCTCCATCTGGCCCATGACCTTCGGCCTCGCCTGCTGCGCCGTCGAGATGATGCACACCGGCGCCGCCCGGTACGATCTCGACCGCTTCGGCATCATCTTCAGGCCCAGCCCTCGCCAGTCCGATTGCATGATCGTCGCCGGCACGCTCACCAACAAGATGGCTCCTGCTCTCCGCAAGTAGGTTCCCGTCTGCTTTCGATTTTTTTTTTTTCCGAATTTTTATTTGGTTGATTGCGGTATGGTTTGACGAGGGATGGGTGAGGGTAATTACGCTTGGGAGTGCGGTTTGTCGTACTTTTTGGTGGATTTTGTTGATTGCCGCTTGGTTTCTGAGAAATACGTGGAGAGAAATCTGATTGGAGGAGTTGGGAGTCGCACGATGTTGTTTTCACCTTTGGGTTTGCTCGTCATTTGGTTGTGAGGGATCTGGGTTTCTATGGGACATTAGGAGATTTTGTGCTTCGTTGAGGTTTTGAATATTTGGTGGGGTGACGGATGTTTAACTTAGCTCGTTGGATCGTGTCAATGCCCCGCCTACTTCATCGTGTTTTTTTCTCCTTCATACTTGCATGATTTTTGTAGTGACGGCGTGCCAGAAAATCAGGTAATGACAGTGGCGATGAAATTTGTCGCCTAATCCGTAGGAATTCAGGGGTTTGTTCCAATCGGAAGTTGATATTCATCAGAATAGAGATTGGGTGAAAATGGTAGAAAATTGAGTTCTGGTGGTGGTTCTTAGATGACCTTGAAATGGGCTTGTAAATGCACGTCAAAGGAGGGGTTCTTGATGCTTGTTACATGGCCAGACAAAAGATTTTCGAGTTAGGTGAAAAAAAGGAGAGAGATAGAACAGGAGCAGTAGCCCTGAATTATGTCTGAGATGATAAAGAGCGAGCCGCCAATAGCAAATCACTCAAGATGCAAACGCCTGGAAGTCACCAAGAGAATGGTAGAGAAATTGGACGCGTCAATGAACGGATCAAATTGTTGGGGAACAAAGGTTTGTTGCCACCACCAGGAAATAGAAGAGAATGGTAGAGAAATTGGACACGTCAATGAAGAGATTAAATTGTTGGGGAACAAAGCTTCGTTGCTACCACCAGGAAATAGAAGAGAATGGTAGAGAAATTGGACACGTCAATGAAGAGATTAAATTGTTGGGGAACAAAGCTTCGTTGCCATCACCAGGAAATAGAAGAGAATGGTCGAGAAATTGGATGCGTCAATGAAGAGATTAAATTGTTGGGGAACAAAGCTTCGTTGCCACCACCAGGAAATAGAAGAGAATGGTAGAGAAATTGGATGCGTCAATGAAGAGATCAAATTGTTGGGGAACAAAGCTTCGTTGCCACCACCAGGAAATAGAAGAGAATGGTAGAGAAATTGGACGCGTCAATGAAGAGATCAATTTGTTAGGGAACAAAGCTTCGTTGCCACCACCGTTAAAGGGCATTGTGGACTTAGAATTCACCTGGGGCTGGTCTTGGAGATTATTTGCAAAATTGAACTTATGCAACATTGTGCCATTCTGTCTGTACAAACCCCACTCCCGGGTGGGTGGGGGAGAGACCGTGGGTTGAGTGGATGGTGAAATATCTGCAAAATGGGGAGACCTATTTGGAGAAATATTACGGTTTAAGGCATGTTTAGTTACTGGGTTCAGGGTAGGAAGATTAGCAGTGCCTTGTGTTGTACGCATTGTTGGATGGAACACACCACCCCCCCCCCAAAAAAAAACATTTTTTAAGATCTAACAATCTGACTTTATTGGCTGCTTTTTGTATTGTCAAATTCATCTAAAACTTTGAGGCCAAATAAGGACTAGTCCTAATTTTGTCATTGTTATTATCTTCCTGGTTTCTGAAGCAATATTGGTTAATTATCTTCTGTATTCGGAGTGGATAGTGTGTAGTCCGGGCATTTATCATCCATATTTTGAGTTATGTGCATACCACCAGAGGTTTGGTGAATCTTTGCAATTTAATAGCACCAGAGCCAAATCATGTGGGAAGCAATCTAGGTGGTCATCTGCTATCTTTGGCTCAGTTTCCAAAGTGTGCTTAGTGTATTATTAGGAGGCAGAGGTCTCCCTATGTCACTCACTTGAAGGATAAGAAATTTTTGCAACTAGCATTTAATAGCTTATGTATATATTGCTTGATTATGGATATGGATTCAGTGACTCCTTGTTCACCCTGGTTGCTGACTTATGATTGCTGCAACTAATTTTCTGCACATTGCCTCTTTGTTCCATCCTGAGAATACCGTTGTCAGTGGACTCCTGACACAGAGTATGGTTCTGTGGTGGATCAAGAATTGGGTGTCTTATCCATTTTTAACTATTCTGCTGATCGGAACTTATTGCAGATTGCACTCCTCTTTTAAGCATTGTTCTTTGCTTTTTACTGACAATATATGATCAAAAAATAATTGTGAGTCTACACCATCAAAAAATGGTTGCAGGGTTTATGACCAAATGCCGGAGCCGAGGTGGGTAATCTCTATGGGAAGCTGTGCTAATGGTGGTGGTTACTACCACTATTCCTACTCCGTCGTTCGTGGTTGTGACAGGATCGTCCCTGTTGACATCTATGTTCCTGGTTGCCCTCCTACTGCTGAGGCCTTGCTTTATGGTCTACTCCAGCTGCAGAAGAAGATCAACAGGCGCAAGGATTTCCACGTCTGGTGGACCAAATGAGGCTCTTGTAGTTGTTTATGTTCCTGGAAGCTTCGGTTGTGTCCTTATTGGATGATAAATAAGATCGTGGTGGCTTTTCCTACCTTGGTAAATGGTATGTAAAAGCGAAAGACTTGGGAATCACCGTGACCATGATTTTGGGGTGTTCTTTATGGCAAATTACTGATGCATTACAAATAGGATCTCCACTCTTCTGAAGCTTTTGCAGTGAAAGCAGATCCTGCAACTTTACTTTTCTTTCCTTCATTTAGCTTTGATGTGGACGGACTTTCATGTGATGTATGTGTTTAAAGCATATGGATGTTGAGATTTTGAACTAAATAAAGCGCTGTGGTATTTGGTTCACGAATGCTGATCTGATGAACATCGTGTTTGGGTTTGTTCTTGCAATCATCTGGAGCTTTGGACTCTATACTAACAATTCAAGGATGCAGATAGGTGCCTTGTCTGCCTTAATAAAGCTTATCGCTAATCGAATCGAAAATCATTTCTTGTGAAAATTTTTCAAGTCATGGGATTGGAGGCATGGAGAAGTATCAACTTCTGATCGACGCTTAAATTCAATTTTTATAACTTATTATTGAAGATATCGTTGGTCAAATCTCTCTTTCCCAGCTTTTGGTTTTACTTCTGGTCAAATGGCTTTCTTCCTAGCTCTTGGTTTACCGTAAGCTGGCCGTAGTTGGTTGAAAAGGCACCTCTCTTGTATCGTGTTTACTGTAAAAGGAATTCCGTGATTCCAAGCCTTTGTGATCAATAAATCCTCAATATCCAAAACTGCATATCTGATAAAGTCTTAAATGGCATAGTTACACGTACGAGGACCGCAAGGTCACAGCCTCACGAAATACCTGAACAAGGCCTAAACGACCTGAATGTGACCAGATCAAAGCGATAAACCCCCCGAAAAAAGAAATCTAATTCAACACTCCCACACGAGCAAATGTCGACAATCCAAGGTGGAAAAAAGGAGCAATTTTCGAAGTGCATATGGGATTTTGGACTCTACTCTCAAATCTTTCATGTCAATCTTATTGACGTTCAACAGCATGTTGTATCTTCCTCAGAGATGATTCTTGAAAGCTGTTATCATTTTTGGGGATAAAAGCAAGAGAAATGCCAATATTGAACCAAAAAACATCTTGATTGCATAGTTAACCGGATCCAGGTCAAGAGAATTTGAGGAAGTCCTGGGGCTCGACAGGGCTGTTGCTGAAGGTAGGGTTTCGATCACTGCATCAGCTAGATCCGTGATGAACGAAGAGGTACAACCCAGAGCCGGAACACGGCCCCAATTCTCAACGCCAGATTCAAGTGCCAACTCTCTGTACTCCATGTCTATCTCTTCAAGAGTTTCAATATGCTCACTCACAAAGCTGGAGTTAGAAACCAGGGCAAAATCAGTTCCAGTTGAACTAAACAAAACTTTTGATTTTTATAAACTACTTTCACCGTGAATGAGACCAGAAAATTGAAAATCAATCAAGTAAAGAGAAGAGTTTAAAGAAATGGCAACAGATGTCCAATTCACAGCAAGCAATGTCCATATCCGCATTCAAGATGCCTATATGAAATGTAATATCTGGGCAGTCGATGACCTGATGTATCTGACAAAATTTATAAAATACTAGGACAAAAGACTCAGGAGCTGGCAAGTTAAAACCGAAAACGGGTCATGTCAAGACATTCTCCTTTACAACTCAATGCTTATAGACTCAACTTCAATTGAAGATAGCTCACCTCACTGGAACTGCTAGGAGACTCTTCACCCCTTTTTTGCCGAGCTCGACAAGTACTTCATCAGTGTAGGGCTTCAGCCATTCCACAGGTCCAACTCGGCTCTACAAAGGAAATGAAATAAAAATGAGAGAGAGAGAGAGAGAGAGAGAGAGAGCATTTATATAGCTCGGCTATCGGCTAACTAGCAAAGAGGCCAGAGTAAGTTGCATACAACAGTCTCTAAGCACAATTAACAACCAAAAGAAGTGGTCTCTAAGAAGGGCAACAACTAATATTTCACAACCAACCTGGTAAGCAAGTTTATGCTGATTGTTAACTCCTCTAGATTTCAGTTCCTGCATAATCAAGTAAATGCACTCTTCCATCTGGTCCTTGTATGGATCTCCAGCATCCACAATGTAACTAACGGGTACTCCATGAGCACTGAAGAATATTACGGCCTAAAATTGAATAAAAATATACAATTAATTAAGCCATTTCCAGTGGACGAGGCCAGATTGCTTAAATGTTCTGATTTTTCGCATCTGATGTAAGCTGTGACAAATACCAACTCACTTCCTCAGGGTTGGAGAAACTCTCCAGTTCCTTCTGAATCAGGTCCGCCATAGACTTTATGTAACCCTCTCTTTGATACCAAGATTGTATTATAGAAACAGGCACTGTTGACAGATAAGCATCTTCCCTGAAAAATGATCCGTTGAATCTAGTTAGGAAGAACGAGACACTCAACTTGTGCAAACAAAGGCGGTACAAAGACGAAGAACATACTTGAATGCATTTTGAATGACTCGGACGCTTGAACCAGTCGTAGAAATAGAATATTGTGGATAGAGCGGAAGTACAACAAGCCTTGTAATCCTGTCCCTCTTGATCTGTCCAGAAGTAGACAAAAATTTCAGCCATATAGCCTTGGTTATCTTGAGAAGAGGAGTAGCGGCGAAATCACTTGAGCACAGAAAATTCATATAAATGGTCAACTGACAGATCACCAACGTATTATGGAAAGACATGGTTGTCTAACTATTCAACAATATTTGACAAATTACATCAATACAAGCAGCGCAATAAAAATGTTAGATATCCTCTTAAGAATTGGCAACAACCTGCTGAACTGCCTCCTCGGTGAAGGGATACCAGTAGCGCATGCCAACATAGACATTTGCAGACATGTTCTTTGCTTCCAAAGCCCCTTTGAGTGCCTGTGCCTGCAAAAAGTGCGACATAACATTCACACCTAGCTATGTAAACTAAAGATATCATTTTAATGCAGTATATATAGAAAGAAGAAAGTAGAGAACATCTTCGAAAGAGATATTAGGCACATAACAAGACTGAAAAAGGCAGCACACTATTTTACCTGCTCATCAGTTATTTTACGTAAAGGTGAGCCGCCTCCTATGGCAGCATATCCTTCTCTACTTTTGGGAGCCCGGATTACAGATATTAGCTGCGCAAGGGGTTTTTGCAAGAATCGGAACAGCCTGGGAAGACGTATGATATCCTGTGAATGGAGAAGATAAACATTCAGCCAGATATACACAATTGAAAAACATGCATATATGCATAAAAGGTTAGATAGCATACGGGATCTGCAAATAAATTGAACAGAAAGGGTTGCACGTCGTGAAGAGTCTCTGGACCACCGAGATTCAGAAGGAGCACTCCAACTTTTTCTTCCGCAGCATGCGAGTCGGACTCCACAGCAGTACCATCGTACGTGCACACTCCAGCAGAGCAAAATGTCTGTCTAACCTGGTTTCTCTTTTCACAGGGGCCAAAGAAATTTGATCTTGAAAGTGCTCCACTCCTCTCGCCATTCAAATCCGTAGAAACCTTTAAGGCTTGGGATGATTCATAATCCCTCTGCCCATTCGCAAAATGGAAACGTACAGACGTTTGAAACCTGATGTGGTACAGATCGTGCAAAATGTCAAGCCCAACTCAAAACCCCAATGTCTACACAAGAAATTGTTAACAAGTCGAGCGCACATTGCTCTAATTGCTAGTGTCTACTGCTGCGCAACAAGCTAGTCTATCTCAGCTAAGTGATACTCGACTGTCCGGAAGAGCCGAGACGCCTTTTGCCCTCTACCCCCCAACAGAGCGCAAATTGGATTCTCCATGACCAAGAACCAATTTTTGTCCACCGCCACATTGACCTGATCAGCTCGATTACCGTCCAATCGAAGCATAACATACAAAATTCTTTCACCCCTCGTCGTGCTTTTCTCGAATCAACCGCTCTAAGCCCCTCCCCTCCCCTTGCAAAACTTGATCAAATTACCAAATCCTCGGTCACAACCAAAGACAAGGACGCGCCGCGACATTCCACCTTTACGAACACGATTCACACGAAGCCTCCCATCATGATCCAAAACGTACAACGAATCAAACACACATCACGCACGCACGCACGCACGCACGCAACAATCAGCCAGATATCCACAACACTTGCCATCACAAAATTCCGCAACGGCCCAACGCAAGTCGCGCCAGGAGTCCAGGAAAAATTCGATCTCCTGTCGTTCCTTCTTTTTAGGAGATCGATCTTCCCAAACGATTTTGCGAAAAGATGTTAACCGAAAGCGAAATAAGAAACCGACCTCGATGAGTCGGGACTGCCATTACGTAGCTGACGACGGGCGATCCTGACCGAATCAAGGGCAATGGAGCTCGCCGCAGCGTCCATGGCGCCGACTTTCTCGACGATATTTTCCCGGGGGCCAAAAAAAAGAGGAAAATTCGAGAGAAGATGGGTTCCGCGGCACCAGCTTTATAAGGGGTTTCGCTGAGACCGAATGGGAGTTGCTGAATCGAGTCAATAAAGTACCAACTCTCCTTGCTCTCTATACGCGTTCAACTCTCCCTCTCTCTCTCTACATACAGAGGAGAGGACTTTTTCCTGGAAAGTTGGGTCCATCGTCGGATTGGAGAGACAATATTTTCTCGGGAAATCGATGGAAAATCGAGCCCCGAATTAATAAGGGTTTGACTTCCGACTACTATATGGGAGATCGGTGACGTGGGCGTATCAGGACCTTCCGATATAAGTCGGAAGCCGAATAACGAACGGGCCTGGGCCTTCCACAGCGGGGCCGCCCCATTTCGCTATTTTCGGTCCGGGAGGAGAATCAGAGGGGAGACAGAGAGAGACAGAGGGGAAAGGGGGAAAAAAATACTTCAGAGGGAAACGCATGAATTCCGGCCGTTAGATCCGGCGAGGTCTCGCGAAGGTCTCGTGTATCCAGACCGTTCACATCAGCCGAGTCCTAAAAAATCTGCCCCATGCGTTTCTTCCGTTGTTATCCAGTTTCGTACCCGGCCCCGTGGACCTGTCAAAATGGGTCGTGAATCCATTTTCCGGCCTATATTTGATTAGGCTGTATTGTTATATGGACTATGGATCATAAATGAGTTTAAAATTGTAAAGCCAAAAATAATATGGGCATCAAATGGGTACACAACTTACTTAAACCCAACTCCTCACCTCTATGATTCCCTCTTTACTCTTTCTCGATCTCACGCTCGCTCCGCATTCTCACGTCAGTTTAGATGTGAGTATTCATAAAATAGATTAAATATACAAATATTTTAGTAATATGGGCCGGGTCGGGCAAGTGTTGAGTATGGATCGGATATGGATATACGACACTAAATTTGCATTGCATGAAAATGAATCAAGTTGGGATCTACTAATTTTCGATCCGACCCAACTCACCCGTTTGACGGGTGGGATAAAACAAACGAGGAAGATGCAATCACCGGATGCAGTTCCATTTTTGCATTAGCCCATAAGGAGAGAGAGCTCGTTGCTCTTGGGCCTACGCAGAACGAGCCCGTCTTGATTGGCACATCTATCGCCCTATATATATATACGCTTGATTTCTCCCTGGAGAAGCCATTAGGGTTCCTTTGGATCTCCTTTGCCTCATCGCCGTAACTGGGGTTGAATGCTCGCTTCGTGTTCGAGCTCGAGTTTCTCGAATCGCGAGCCTTGCGCGATCGGTCCTGGTTTGCTCTGTTTTGTTTTTCTGGGTTTTTTTTTCTTCTTTTGGTTTTTGGCCCGTTTGAATTGAACAATGTGGTCGTGGATTGAGTTCTTGAATCGGAGGTGTGGGCGTCTGGCTCCAAGAATCGAGTCAACAGTCGGCGCCGATCGGTGGCGACCGGTCTGCCGCGTGGAGCCGACATCATTTCTCGCCGGTTGAAGATCCCTGAAACTCGAAAAACTCTTGTCGTTTCATGACACAATTAGCCGGCGACATTCCAGTGAAAATTTCAACTTTTTATCTCGATTTCTTGATTTTGAGGGCACTCTCAGACACGGGTGTGTGGTGAATCTCGATACGAGATAAAACGACGACACACCTTTTGCGTGGTGCCGAGAGAGATCGCTACTTCGACACGATGGGAGGAGGCAAGCCTGAGAAGCTTCGCATCTCAGCCATGGCTTCCTCCAAATTTGAAGTAGCTAAATGCATTAACATCTCCTTTTCTTCTTTCTTTTAGTACATTCGCTGTGCGAATACATTTCCTGATCATATTCTGCACAAACCCACTTCTTTCTTGGCCTAATCTTTTCATCTTCGTTTGAACCGAAGCTGTATTTCGCAGAGTCTGATCTTTGTTCAAGAAATGGATCTGTACCCCGTTTTCTGGAATAACCTTTCAAAATTCACAGCTTTGATGTTTTCTCTTTTTGTCAAGTTCTTTTCTTGCCTCGCGGAAGTGTCGAAGATTGCATGCACCAAATTTGAGTTGGGAATCGTCAGAGCACGAACACATAAAAGAAGTTAGACATCAACAGACGAGTACCCACTAAAATGATGTTCGCAGGGACAACTTTTCACGAGCTTAATGGAAAGTAGATACCCAAGTTGGCCTAATGCCTTATGAATGGAACGTAGCTAAAACAACATCCTAGATATTGTCCACCCGATTCCGAACAGTGACCAAAGTCATGCTTGAATGGACAAAGGGCCTGTTTGGGGAACTTTGTGGCCTCAAAGTTCCTTGGCCAAATGCAAATATTTTTTGCATTTCCAAAGGGCTAAGGTCTTTGGCCCAAGGCAGGTCCGATGGTGCTTTGGCAAGTTGCATTTTCAGAATGCAAGTTTTATGTTCATCGCACCATTGATCGCATTGTTTATCTTTCTCAGTAGGTTGCGAGACCTAGGTCTGCCTGAGGTCGCGTAACCTCAGGAGAGGCTGGCCGGTGGTCAGATCTAGCCGTCGGCTGTCACTTCAAAAAAAAATTTAAGAAAAATATTAACAAAAGTCCTTTACAAAATATACACTCTACTAAACAGTATTTAAGCTAAAGTTGCTTTCAAATGTAATTTTAAAATACATTTTATCAAACACTACTTGTATTTCAGAAATCCATTTAGTCCAAAGGCCTTTGCATTTTGCCGAAGACATTTCCCAAAGTCTAACCAAACGAGTCAAATGTATGACAACTACCTGTGTTTGGATGTTTCCTGCATATATTGGCATTGTCCAGCCTCCCTAAGATATCCAAATGATTTATCCCTTCATTGTGCGTAACAGATGTGGCAACTATGTCCTCTTGAAATCGTTTGATAAGGATCAATTATTGAATGAGGATAATAAGAAACAGGATGAATAACTAAGGAAACTCAAGATTACAGTGAAGAAGCCAACTACTCTTTCCCTCCACGAGCCGGTTGATACTGTCAAGTCAGCATCATCAATCACAGTGGTGGATAGATTGGTTTCTTCGAGGATATACCGATTTATTGGGTTAGAATCTGAGAATTGTGGAAGCACCATTTGTATAAGAGGCCTCAGTACTTCTCTTCTTACAAAGATGGGATAAGTGCATTTAAAATCCTAAAACTTGTCACGAAAGTGTAATTGAGTCCTAAAACTTTCAAAAAGTGCAAACAATTCCTAAAACTTGTCACGAAAGTGCACTTGAGTCCTAAAACTTTTAAAAAGTGCAAACAAGTCCTAAAACTTGTCACGAAAATGCAAACAAGTCATAAAACTTGTCAAATTGGTTCAATCAAGTCCTTCCATTGATTGTACTTTTTTAAAGTTTTAGGGCTTGTTTGCACTTTCGTGACAAGTTTTAGGACTTAGTTTGTACTTTCGTGACAAGTTTTAGGACTTATTTGCACTTTTTGATAGTTTTAGGACTCAAGTGCACTTTCGTGATAAGTTTTAGGACTTGTTTGCACTTTTTGAAAGTTTTAGGACTCAATTGCACTTTCGTGATAAGTTTTAGGACTTCTAGTGCACTTATCTCCACAAAGATTTAAGGACTTTAGAGGCTGTAGATAGTGCTCAGTTTTTTGCCCTTTCATGTATAGCTAAAGCTTATCTCTTTGCTTGAGGAATCGGCCGACTTCCCTCGAGTCTTCTTGGTCCACATTTTGTAAGGGGAAAAGTCAACGAGTCTGAGGCAATTCTCGTGGTGAAGGGATCTTCTCTTTTCCATTATTTTGGGCCAACGGTGGTTGTTAATTTCTCTTCCTCCAATAATGTACGAGCCTGTGCATTGATTTGTCAAAGCACCAAGGCTACAAGATCCACAGAAATTGGATGCCGACCCAAGATTAAACAACACCCTTCTTTCTATTGGTGCAAAAGTCAACTGGCTCGATTACTTTAAGGGCGCAATACCTTGGTCATCAGTGCATCCAAAGGAAAGAAATGGTCAAAACATTTGGTGGTGCATCGAGTGCAGGACCCATCTTCGCTGGCGCATAAGCTCACTGGCAATTTTGGAGTGCATCTTGCTACTAGAAGCCTATACTGCATATCCTCAAGATTTCGTAAGGATTCGCACTGTTGACCAGAATTTGCTACTTTTTAGGAGGTTGTCCTCAATGTTTCAAAGGTTGTCATTTGAGCCATTCCAGTTTATTAGATGCAAATGCCATCTGAAAATTGCAAAACCCAACAATATTGAAAATCTCTTTTTTCGTTCACGCAATCTCACTTCCTCGGTAGTATGCTCTATGAATCTCTAATCAAAGAGTAGATTTTGATTCTGGGTCCTTGATCTTGACAAATTCCCAACAAAATCGATGTTATTCCTTTATGTCACTGCGGAGAGGGACCAACCGACAAAACTAACTTTTACTTTGCACGTAACAACCAGGCAAAGAGTGCCCACGCATTGACAGCGGATGACACCATGCTCACAAAAGCCAAGCACAAGCACAACCGTGCCTGAGTAAACATCATGGTTCCTGGTTGTTACTACATCAAGTTAGCCTTTTGAAACTCTCGCACTTGTAATCATAACCTTCTCCTTTTTTACGAAGGAATATCAGGTAATTAACTTTCATGGAGAGGGTTCTTGTACGGAAAAAAGGAACTAATCCTATAGGAAAACGTCCACGGAAGGATTGCGTATTTCTTAGGTAGACTCGCCTCTTCACAAGCGGTCATCTACAAATTTTCTAATTTAACTAGTTCCGAGACACGACGCATGAACTTATCTGCGAAACTTTTAAGCGACTTATACATTGAAAGAAAGAACGATGGATACCGTATTGTTTGACTTGGCTTGCCAAGATCCTACTAAGGTCCACCTCATGTGCCCCTTCAAATGAATCTTGGGGTGCTCATAAAATAAGAACCTCTAAAGAAAACAGTGAATTATTGAACCTAGGGCTTGCTTTCAGCTCTCTGGGAGCCACATTCTTATAAAATATATATTTGTGCCAACATGCGTTGGCTATTTAAAAATCCATGATTAAGTTGGTCGTTGGACTATAAAAACGCAGGTTGGAGCATAAGAAAAAGAAACGAGTATTCATTTTTGAGATGGGAATCTGCATATCCACTGTATCTTCTGAGATTCATGATACTGAAGATGTCCAAGAAAATGCAGTGTTCATTGACGAGACCAATGATAAAACTAAGAGAAATGGATCTGTTCATTCAAGAGCTGGAAGCAAAGGGTTGAACCAAGATGCTGCCATACTCTATCAGGTTTGTCGAGATTTGAACATTATTGAATCAATTGAGGTTGTTTTTGTTAGGACGGTCTGATGAAACGAGCTTTTGGCTAGTTTGCTTGTGATGACTTCTCATTCTAGTTTAGTCCAATTCGTCAGAATTCAAACAGAAAATGGTGGTGTGTGTGATATCCTTTCTTCGTGTTCATTAGGGATGATTTTGATGCAAGTTTCAGGTCCAACTTACACAGTTAACTTATTTCAGTATGGTGAATATCATATGAGCAACCCATTCCATATATTTTCTTTGACATTGATGTACTCTGCCCTCTCTTTAGGGATATGGAGAAGATGATGGAGCCTTTTGCGGAGTTTTTGACGGTCATGGGAAGAACGGTCACCTGGTGAGCAAGTTAGTGCGGAACCATTTGCCACTGCTTGTGCTAAACCAGAGAAACTCTCTGGCAAATGTCAAAGTCACGGCGGTGCACGATGACTGTGACCCAGGATCAATGCCGAGCAAGAACTTCCAGGCATGGAGAGATGCATGTATCAGTGCCTTCAAGGTGATAGACAAGGAGATCAAGCTTCAGGAGGGATTGGACTGCTCCACCAGTGGAAGCACAGCTGTTGTTGTCATAAGACAGGTATTTTGCTCCTCAAATTATAAGGAACCGCAAAAATTTTCATTGATCCGTCCATTCTAACATCCTTCAAAAAAACCGCCCATTGGTATTAGGCTAATAGTTGGAATAATAATCACAGGGTGAGGATCTTGTCATAGCCAACCTCGGCGACTCGAGAGCAGTGCTAGGGACTCTCACTGAAGACGGACTTCGCACTCTTCAATTGACTACCGACTTGAAGCCTAATGTTCCCAGTAAGATTAGCATAATCATCCTATTCCTATTTGGATCTAACCTTTTTTTGATTGTTTGTATGTTCTTAGGCCTTAAGTTCTTCACTGAGGACCTCTTATCTACTTGTATCGAGCTCTTCTATTTTTAAGCCCCATATTATTCATGCATCTTGATGGTTTCGGTACTTATCTTCGGTTGGGAATGTATTTGCAGGCGAAGCCGACCGAATAAGGAAGTGCAACGGCCGGGTTTTAGCTCTGAAGGAAGAACCACACATCCAGCGCGTGTGGCTACCCCATGAGAACATGCCTGGCCTTGCCATGTCCCGTGCTTTCGGCGACTACTTGCTCAAAAACCACGGCATAATCGCCATTCCCGACATCTCTTATCACCGTATAACTCCAAAAGACCAATTCATCGTCCTTGCAACAGATGGGGTAAGAAAATTCGGTCTCGATAAAGCTATGTATGAAGTTCAGTGAAATCCAAAAGCAATGGTCAGAGGCACTATCAGATGATTAGCACATGCACTACCTAAGCGGGAGATTCACAGTCATGGAAACTGTTGTCCCATGTTCTAATATTTTCCAAACGCTCTCATGCAGGTGTGGGATGTGCTCAATAACAATGAAGTTGCAACAGTGGTCGGGTCAGCAAAAGATGAGGAAGACGCAGCGAAAGCATTGGTTGAAGCAGCTATTGCTTCATGGAAGAAGAAATTCCATTTTTCAAAAGTTGATGATTGCAGTGTTGCCTGCCTCTTCTTGCATAAAAGGCAAAAGACAGATTAGCACTGGTGCACTGCCAATTGGGTACTCTAAGCTTGCAACTTATAGTCTATACATATTATGCCATTGATGCACTAGCTGCTTCAATGATTCCAACCACGCACAAGTTGCTTGTACAGAGGCATATAGAAGTACAAGCAAAATAGAGACAATGAACATTGCCCAGAATTTGGTATTGAAATGAAAGCTCCGAGTTAGCTTGTCGAACAACTTGGAAACATATTCCGAGGGGATGGGTTTGCCAACTGGAGTGCATTGATGGGGATTGTTTCACCTGGATAACTCATGTTTCCCACAAACGTTATTGAATTGTTAATCACCATCAATTGTGCTAGCTTTACACCATGCTGCAATAAAAGTTAGTTTGAGTGTTCTTTTGCTTCTAATCTTATACATGCTCCAGGGTGAACATTGTTCTCAACACCTTTAAATACCAACTGGGATCACCAAGAATATAAAGACGGGTTTTCTAGAAGAATAGCCAATTGCCTAACAAAATCGCAACTCGAGGTCAATCTACTCTTGGAACCATACCTCCTCTTGATCTAGAGGAACTGATCGACAAAAACAAAGAAAACAGGAGTACTTGGATAGAAGGGATCTTCCAGTACATACATCTTCACCACACAAATCTTAAAAGGAATCACTGGCCTTTTCATAATGCCAGCCATGGAAATCACGATGCTGCTAAGCGTCAGATATACTAACTGCGCAAAATCAAATAGGAGAGGAGACGCATTGCAGAGTAGTTAAACTTCAAAGGTTTGCTGATGAGGCAAAACTGTAACAAGAAACAAAACTCGATTGATGTCCTCTCTTCCTTTCTTCGCACTTTCACAAACCAAAATGATAGCCTATAATAGAACTTCACATATGGATCAACACGACCATTTTATAACCAAAAAAACGGTCACCGCAGACTTGCGCTAAAATCACTGCAGAACAGCTCACTGAAGCCGCGACGCTGTGCTTCCCTTCAGAGAATAAGATCAACTTTGAACCTCCCCAACACTATGTGATGCCGAAACACGAAAGAAATTAGGGTAAACAGAAAAATCGAAAGATAACGAGGAACAAACTGTTCTCTCAATCGATTAACAATCAAAATATCCAAAGTCTGATCAAACGAAACCCTAAAATAATCTTATATAGCCCCAAACCTAACCCTACTAGGATTAGTAAACATCAAAACGTAAAATTACGAAACTGCCCCTTACTAAATTAACCCATAAAAAATACTAAAATAATAAAAAAAACCCATCTAAACGATCCCGAATTGCGAAAATCCATCGTTAATCACGGCCAACGGCCGTGTGTTTTGATCAGCACGCCGTTTCACTTCAGCCGATCAAATTTGAGCTCAATCCGAGATCGTTGACTTCGGGCCCGTCGGTTCGTTTAATCGCATAACGGGTCCACCGGTCCCCCTAGGTGCATCACTATGTGCTATATTTTCGCCTCAGGAATGTTTGCAAAACTTGTTAGAATGTTTGCAAAACTTGTTGTAACAAGAAACAAAACTTGATTGATGTCCTCTCTTTCCTTTCTTTGCACTTTCACAAACCAAAATGATAGCCTATAATAGAACTTCACATATGGATCAACACGACCATTTTATAACCAAAAAACGGTCACCACAGACTTGTGCTAAAATTACTGCAGAACAGCCCACTGAAGCCGCGACGCTATGCTCCCCCTCAGAGAATAAGGTCAACTCTGAACCTCTCCAACACTATGTGCTATATTTTCGCCTCAAGAATGTTTGCAAAACTTGTTAGGATGTTTGCTATGCACAAATTGAGACAACCAAGGGAAAATAACGTCTTTTTTCACAAACATTATCCACTTCCGTCTTCTGGGTCATCTAGAATGTCTTCGTAAGAAACAGGTACTCTCAATCGTTCCTTCACGGATTGTCGTTTTTCCTCACCAGCCGATTCCTGATCGACATCGTGTAACTCAGGCATTGTTGAGAAACCATCTGGAGTGGTCGCAGAACTCCTGTCAGGGGATGCTTTTATAGGTCCATCAGAAGGTACCTCTTTCTGTCGTCCTTGTTGAATGTTGTGTGGCTTGAATTGCTTCTGCATATGATAAAGAACATAGACTAACTTAATCACGGTTGGGCAAGAAAAGACTCCCCGAATTGACCTAGCATGTAAATCATCATTGCAGAATAAGGAAAGCATGCAACCCAATAGATGATAATCAGGCATCATAGATGGAAATGTTGCGGATCCGAAGCTCCGAAAGACCTCGGGCACACAATATCATTAATGCTGCTAAAGATAGTGCGTATCGGCTTACTATAAGTTATTCTCCTTGGATAGTTTCTGTGCTAGGGTCCAACCAATCACGTATTTGTTCCATGTTCGAACCGCTATAGGAAAGGAAAACAGAAAAAGAAAAGGAAGAAATCTGCTATAGGAAACCTACGGTCAATTTGGTCTTTGAGCAATACTTTCCACCAGATGCTCCAACAGAATTATTAGGAAAAGAACAAAAGGTTATGAATCATTTTGTAAAGGATCAATCTCTGTTGCGCAATAAAGCAGAATTAAATTTGTTCAAGCCTTTCGGATAATACATCACCAGCAACCCCTCAGATAACTAGCCAAGCCACTGAACTGTCAACAAGAGGACAAATTCCTGTCCAAGGTAATATCACAGTCACCATTTTAATGGGAGGTAATTGGAGGCCTAATTTCCTGTCTAGACATGCTTAACAATGTCAGTAGTGCAAATGCGGTTGCATCCGCTTGAAAGGGGATAAAAATATTTTAACTTGTTGCACATAATCACTAAATGACTTAAAAGAGGAAATCAACTACACACCTCAAATTCTCTTGCTCTTTTCATTATCTCTCTGTAAGCATTTGGTTCTCGTGCTTTAATGATACTCCATAGTACACCCCCACCTGTTCGCTGCCGTTTACCGTCAGCAGTCATCTGACCCCCACAAGCCTGAATAGCATCTACCTGGAATACAGAAATGCGAGTGCTAAGGCAGGATAAGGTACTTAAAAAATCATAAGTTGTTTAATTTGGAAGTTCTGAGAGAAAGCAATGAGAAACTTCTGGCAAAAGAGTTGGAGATTTTCTAAACATGCTGACATCTACACTACCAAAAAAATTTATGCACAGCTAACTGAAGAAAATTACATCCAACTGTACTAAAAGTATAAGATCCAAAACCAACAGCACATAAAATCAATCCACCTTCCATTGACAAGATACCGTTTTCTTATCCTACTTCCAGGGATTCTCTCCATCCTGCAAACTCAAAAACTTCAACCCCTCAAAATCCTGTCTCCTGGGAGCAGATAGCAATCATTTTATTCTGGCTATATGTATGCACATAGAACAGCTTTTTCCCAATTAAATCACATTCTGAATCTTTATTAATGAAACTCTATTGCTCCTTCGAATTGCATAAGTCCAAAATACTTTCCCTTGCTACCTTACGCCTGTTGTGTCCAATTGTTCAGTCATAAGCAAACAACATTATCTACCATACCTAATAATCCCAATGCTACTTCAGTTGATACAAAATAAACACGGCAGAAAGGCTACTAACCTCTTTGACGAGATCGCTCAACGCAGACACTCCCAGACAACCGACGGCAGTATACACCATGTACGATTTCTTCTCCTTCAGTCTCCTACAGGTATCGAGCACGAACCTGGAAAGAGCAGAAAGCAGAAATGAGGGCATTGCCATGAGTGATAGCTGCAACAAATCTCAAGCACAAATTTCTTGTGCACGTCTGCATCTACCAAATGAAAAAAAATAAAATAGAACATCATATTTTCCCTGCACTCCACGGTTTATCATCCATGTAATGGTAAGACCAAAGCACAACTCTGTAAATAACATGGTAAAGCTAAGACCAAGATACTTAAAAGGGACACCCAAATGCGCGCAACATCAAAAGCCCTTCACTACATTACGAATCAAATGGTCAAGCCAAATACTATATCGCTTCCAGACAAGACGACGAATTCGAGCGACAAATGAACACTTTGTCCCATGGAACGAGAAGCTGCAAAGGTCCGAGGTAGAATCGGGAACGCGACCTGTTGATGTCAGTGAAGTCAGGGCCAGACCCAGGAGCGACCCTTTTCCTTTTCCTGTTCTTCTTCTTGTTCGCCCTGCGCCTGCGATTCTTGCTCTGCTCCTCTTGCTTCGACACCTCGGCATCTCCATCTCCATCCACTACGGGTCGTGTCGGATCGTTCTTGATGTCCCGATGGTCGACGACAAGCTCGCCCTCCTCGACGTCGACCATTTCGACATCGTCGTTGTCGAAGTTATCCTCCTCATAGATGGCGTCCAACACGCTCCCTCCCTCCATCAGCGAAAGGCTGAACTCGACAAGCTCCTCTGCCTATCTCTCGCACTTTCAGGAAAGAGCGACGGGTTTTGGCGTACGTCGGAGACGGTGGTTCTATTTTATATTCGCCATTTTTATCGAAGCTCCGGCGAGATCAGTATGGTGAATAAGGTCGGCGGATGAGCGGCTGTTGCTGAGGAATTTCTGTAATCTCTCTCTCTAGGTTTTTCGAAAATCCGCTTTCTTCTCCTTTTAAAAGTCCTCTAAACCCCCAAAAAAGGGAAAAATAGAGGGCATTTATCTATTTCTTTTTTCAAGAGATGGACATAATTATGAGAAATTTTTTTTATAGAATTCATGATGCCATTAGCAATTGGACATTAGTTGTATGGGGAGGATAATTTATATTTTTAAAAAGATAAATACTAAAAACATGCTTCGATTTTCACTATGTTATCACTCTCGAATCTATATTTCCATAGTAGAAATTTGGTATCTAATTACCACTTTGAATCCTCACATTAGTTATTTCGAGACTTTATTTACGAAAATGCCAATTCTTTTCCCGAGATATCCCTGCCAAGAACTGCATTTCCAAAATGTATTCACGCTCTCAGGCTACGCATGGCAATCATTCTGTGCCTAGAAATAGATTTTGAGCAGAAATGATTCTTTTTTATTCCGTGCCCGGAAACAATTTCTAAGCATTTGAAAACGTTTGGCAACTGCCCAAAATTTCTGTTTTTAGAATAGAAAAAGAACATAAATGCGTTTGGTAACTACACAAAATTTCTTTTTATTAATAATATTTTAATAATATTTTGAATTTTTTAATATTTATTTCTTTTTTTCTTTCTTTTTTTTCCTTTCTTGCCCCTCCCTTCCTTGGCCATGGCCGGCTGCCGGCACTGGCGACCGGTCACAAGCCAGGGCCGGTGAGGGCGTCGGCGATGGCGAGGTCGGTCTCGCCAGATCTGGGCGAGGTCGACCTCCCCTTGGCTGGGCAAGGCCTCGCCCTCGCCGGCCTTGGCCTGTGGCCGGCGGGTGGCGGGGTTGAAGAACAACAACAAACCAAAAAAAGAAAGAAAACTAAGAAGAATCAGTTCCAGAAAAATTGTTCCAGAATCAAGAAAATACTTTTTTTTGCTTCTTGATTCTATTCCAAAACTGATTATGAGCACAATTTTGCACAAAAAATTTAACAAACGGATTTCTGTTCCCAAACTGATTCTGGGAACAAAAGAATAGAATCAGTTACTATTTGGCAAGTTGTCAACCGCGCCCTTAAGTGCCCTGAACACTAACCGCCCCAAAAAAGAGCATGATTGCCGCCGACGCCTCCTCACCTGTCGCCGTCCACTATAAGCCTTAGAGCTATCGCCTACCGCCATCCGCTCACTACAAAATTCTTCTCTCTTTCTCAGCTGACATAGGTCGAGGTCACGCCATGGTTGACACAACCATTAGATCTTTTCAAAATGAAATTTGTTTAATGATAGCGAATTGATAATTTTAAAAATCAAAACGTGTGAAAGTGGTCATTTAACGAAAAAGCGATGTGTGATTTTTGCATTTGTACTTTATATCGAGTAGAATAATAAGTACACACATCGCGAGTAGGAAATTCACGAGACACAATCACAGCTTAAAATGAGGTCCAAGTGATTAGGGTCTCCATATCCTTGGGCTTCCTTATGATCATTTTTCAAACTTTTTTGCAATTAGCTTTAATCGAAGTGAAGCGGTTAGCCTCGCGTTTTCTAATTTTTACCGGAAAAAAACGAAAATTTTGCGCGAAACTGAGGGGGCCATGATCCCATGCTCTCCACACCACCGGCGCATCCGTGGACTCGAGAACTTCGTCGCTGCCGAACTCAACGGTCACGATTCGTCTCCATCGGGACCGAGCAACTCGGCCTCTGTGATTTCCGCCGTCACGACGGTTGGTCAACCCAGTTGGACTTCCGCTCTCCGAGTCTCAGCAGAGCCTGCTTCGCTGTCGAGACGACGCGTATAAATACCACTAAGAGTGGTTGAACTTCCCGGCTCCAACTACACAAGCGAAACCGAGAGAGCTCTTCGCGTTCGTCGTCAGTCTCTTCTCGCGAAGGATCGAGAGCCTTCTTTTCCGTCAATCCAGCCGCTCCGGTCGGAGGTTTCGCCAATCTCGGTGCCGATCGCCGGAAATGGCCGCGAACGGAGACGCGGCGGGGGAGTACGTGCCGAAGAAGAAGAAAGCCCCTTCCGAGGATGACAAGAGGTGGTGGCTGTTTGTACTGTTTTTATGGTTGATTTTGTGGGGAGAGGACTCGGTTTGCCGTTGACTGTGCTTGAGCTGAACTCTTGTTTCGATTCTAGGAGGAAGAAGATGGCGCCTGGTGACCTGATGAAAGCTGTGGTGAGACCTGGCGGGGGTGAATCTACGCCCTCTGATGGTGATCAGGTTAGCTCACATACGAGCTGGTGTTTGATTTCATATGTTCCTGTTGCATTGGTTCCGTTCCGGTCTGGCATTGAATTGCCTAAGTTGGCGTGGTGCGCATTGCTGAAACCGGATGAATTTGACTTTGACAATTGCGGTATGCGCAGTTGCTTTAAAATAGGAATTGCAAAGTTGAAATGGAACTCCCGAGTGAGTCGCTGTGCGGCTGATCCTGATGTTAGATTCTGGTGTATATGCATTGTGCTCAGCTGAGGTTGGATGAAGCCTACAGTCGATTTACATGAAAAAATAACGATTCAGACTCGATTTAAATTCGCTTATGCCAAGTGATATGCTTACATTCAAATAATCGTGGTAAAAAGTATGTCCTGTTGTTGCGAGAACAGATTGTAAGGAGCGCTTGCTTTTTCTCTCATTTGATGAAACAAAGGTGAATATTTAAGTGCTTTCAAAACTCGACTACGAAACAAAGATGACTGTGTGAATGGCACTGCTTCTTGAAAGTCAATTAGAACACATTGATACGATACCTGCAGCCAATAACCCATACTTTTATCATTAATTGGTCAAAGGCCCTACTGATATTTATTTAAGAAAATATTAGTAGATGATCAACTTAACCGAAAAGAAAAAAAGTTAGTAATGGTTGCAATTGACTCTCTCTTCAAAGAAAATTTAGAAAATAATTTAGGTTTGCCTAGTAGTTTGGAGAAAACATCTCCGACGAAGTTATTTGAAACTGTACAAGTTCAAGTGAAGCAGACATTAGTCAATAGGAATCATAGCTTTTCCAGCAGTAGAGATTACTGAATAGAGTATGGTGGAGTTAAGAACTAAGGCATGTTGACCTGATTCAAGCATCCTGCTATGATACTTGTGACAGATAATGCTATGTTGTGTTTTAGGCTTTTAGCATGGTTACTTTCAGAACACATGCCTAATGTCATTGTGCTTTGGAATACTTTTCTCATTATGTTATTATTGGGAGTCATTGTGTGGTGTCAAATGTTTTCAGGTCATCTATCATTGCACCATTCGAACACTGGAAGGAGTGGTTGTTCAATCTAGCAAATCAGAATTTGGAGGTTGGTAGATTGTATACTTCAATTGGACAGTAGTATCTGTTTTTTTATTTTTTTAAATGAGTTTTCCTCCTATAGAATTAGGCAATAACTTGGACTTACGAAAGATAGGTCCTATGCATTTAGGTTGATTTGTTTCAATTGGCTGCTTGATTTTCTCAGGAAATCCACAGTTAATGTCTCTGCAGCTTCTAAAAACACCTAACCATACCTACTTCCATTGAGTTCTTCAATGATAGCTCACGCTATTGAAAGTAAAGAGGGTCATCGTCTTGGCTAAAATTTATATCAGCGATTCCTAGGTTGACTATTGAGTCAAAGCTACCTTTTGTAAGTTTCATGTGATCAGCATTTAGCTGAAAATTAATTTGCTTTCAGGGAATGGTATCCCGTTGAGACATGTTCTGGGAAAAAGCAAGATGATATTGGGATTGCTAGAAGGAATCCCTACAATGTTGAAGGGTGAAGTGGCAATGGTACAATGCTTCCTTTTTCTATAAGGTTCTGTTTTCATCTTACATCAAGTTGAATTTTGCTGGATTTTGTCCAACCTCCATCCCCTTCCCAAACATAAGGAGGCGAAAGATACGAGAAGGCGGAAATTGAAAACAAGACTAATAGTGTTGTCATCTCTAGAGACTATGAATAAATCGGCTGCAAAATTTTGGATACTTTCTCTATTAGGAAAAAGCAATTGAGACAATCGTTGGCTTGGAAATTTCCTATGTTGTTCATTAGGTTGGAGATAGTTTGAAAGGAAAGTGTCTGTGCAGGTGGTGCTTTGAGATATTGCCATTACTTTTCAATTAAAATAATCAGAACAGTTAAACTGATGCTATGATTTTTTCTGCAGTTCAAAATTAAGCCACAGCTGCACTACGGTGAAGATGATTGTCCCATACAAGTTTCTAGCAACTTCCCAAAGGATGATGAACTTCATTTTGAGATTGAAATGATAGATTTCTTCAAGGCCAAGGCAAGCAAATTTGCTTTATGTTTGCTAGGATCTAAGATGTTGATTATTTATTTTACATATGGGTATGGTGACAAGAAGTAGCTTCAAGATATTACTATGAAACAAATCTAATTATTATGGCTTGCAGTTTTCTGTGGAAACTTCTATTTGGCTTTATTTTAAGTGTCCTAAAATGATATGTAATTTCATTATAGAAAGAGATCAAATGAAGGAAGATAAGAAAAACAAAGAAAGTTTGGCATCGGTGGTTGATTTCTCAGATTATATAGATATTAGAGAAATATAACAAGAGAACATTTATCTTGGGTGCGTTTTTCCACAGTGTAAATGATCTCTGTCAATTAGAAGAATTATTCTTTTAGTCATCGTATTCTTTCTGTTTGCCTCATGTTGATTCTGGACCTTCATCCTCCTTTCTATGCTATCAGTAACTGTGTATGCTTGTGTGGACGGGTAAATATATATGTAAGTTAGTTGAGTGGGCATTGGCGCTCGTGCACTTGAGTGTTTGGGTCAGGGGGTGGTTGCTTGTGTGTGCATTACTTATATGTTCGTCTGAGTGAAATATAGCGTTTCTTAAGCTATTTCAATGGTACTACTTAATTATTGATCCTCAGAATTGTCATGTCCTATTTTCAGGTCATAACTGATGACTTGGGGGTTGTGAAGAAGGTATGAAGAACCATGAGAATGTCCATTTTGTTTTTCAAATAAGCGAAGTTCAGACGCAAAAGCTATTCTGATGCTTTAATCTTGTAGAGTTGAATATGAAGACGAGCATTTAATTTACTGGCATACCAGGGGGGAATTATATGTTTTTAATTGTTTCAAAACTATCATGCAGAGTAAATGCCCATGTTACTAGGATCAAAAACTGTTTACTGCGAGAAAAAAGAACTGCTTTTTTCTGCATGGAAACACTTGCAACTTCAGTCTCTGCATCTATATATTGTAGTATTGTTAATCCTTGATCTAAAAAAATGTCTTCTTCCTTTGTTCTCCAGGAAGGACATCCTACCAAGTAATTTCGTTTTCACTCTCAAATGTACATAAAACTAAGGTTAAAAAACACATACTGATATCCAACCATTTTGTGGATATCAAAAACTGTTTATTGCAAAAAAAAAAAGAATAGAAAAGATAACTGTTTTCTGCACCAAAAAACAAAAGTTCAGTGGCTGCAGCTATACATTTGTATTTTGCTGTTCTCTCCTTGTCGTAGAAGCATCTCTCTTTGTTTCTCAGGAAGGGTATCCTACTGAGTAACCTCGTTTTATGTTTCAAATGTGTATAAGGTTTTTTTTTTGGACCTATGTGTATAAGGTTAAACAGCAGATAGGCATATCAGTTATTTCGGAACCTTCTCCTATTTTCACTATCCTAGAAAAGCAGGACTCAAAACTCGACCATTGTGATTTTGTTATTAATACCATGCCATCTATTTAAGATGTCTGATTGGATTAACAGGTACTTGGCTTAGTCGTCCATTAAAAGTTTATGGACAAGACATTGCATCTTGATCTGCAAAGCAATGGCACACTTGAAATGTTAGAAACTCTAGACATGTCTATACAAGAAGTTTAAGTAACATGGGGAATTAAAAAAGCTTACTTAAAAAGGGTAGTACAGAGTCAGGAACAACATATGTGATCCATGACTGCATTGCAGTATTAGCATCTCACCAAATATGGATGGCTAGAATCAATACTGCAGTTATCAATTTCTTTACTATAGAAGTATATGAGTGATACTATGTACAAAGTGATGGTCTTTCATTGTCTTCACAGGTGATTGATGAAGGCCAAGGTTGGGAATCACCTAGAGAACCATATGAAGTAAAAGCTCGGTAATAGTTTTACATGAAGGACCCTTTAGTATGCTAAATTTCAGAATGATTAGGGTGGTATTTTGATGACACATTTGAATCCAGGATATCTGCTAAAACAGGTGATGGAAAACTGATCCTTTCACATGAGCAAAAAGAACCATACTTCTTCACTTTTGGAAAGTCTGAGGTTGGTTTTATGTAATTAACGAACCTCTATATTTGGCATGTTTTGGTTGCTTGTTGTTGTAATCTGTTCCTTACAGATTTGTTATAAAAGATTCCTGCCCTAGCCACCCTATACATTTCAGATGGGATTGGTTACTTCATGCAATAGAACAAGATATCACTAATCATTTACTTTTTTTCCGCTGCTTTTAGGCTTCAAAGTATATTTTTCTCTACTTCATCTTTGCATGCTTTGTATAGTCACTATTCTGTTTACTACGTGTGCAGGTACCAAAAGGCCTTGAGATGGGTGTAGGAACTATGGCAAGGGGAGAGAAGGCAGTAATATATGTCACCTCTCAGTACCTGTCTGACTCTCCACTCTTGCATCTAGAAGAAGGTACTGAAGAAGTTCATTTTGAAGTAGAACTTGTCCACTTCATCCAGGTAATTTATTCTCCTGTGTGAGTCATAGTTCATTCATGCTTATGTGCTGCTAAATGTGTAAGCTTTTGGACAGAAAGAAGATTCTTAGGTGGTGATTCTCTTCTAAAGTTACTAGTATACGAGTGTAGCATTGCGCGTATGTTGACCTTAATGTGAAGGGAGGTTTCTAAATTAGTCAGCATTTCTGGTACTTGGAATATATCTGTCCAAACCATCTGCATGCGTGCATTAAGTCTTCTGTTTTCATCTAAGTTGTGCAATCCATGTTGCTCCTTTGGTGTCTATAAGATTACTTCTCATTTTTCCATTAAAATCAGCATGGTTCACTCTTAGATTCAATCCTTCTTGTCACACCTTAATACTTTCTTTGCTCGGGCACCTGTCTGCTGATATATCTTGCATCATCGATATGTCATTTGCAGCATAACTTGGAAACTTAGAAAACTTGTCGGATTAAACGGATATTTTAGTTGGGAAGCTGTGCCCAAAAGTGTCATGATTTATCATGGCCAATTTATTGATGTAGTAGGATTTCCCCATTAGTTATGAATCTAGACAGCCAAGGATATGCTTATATGTAATACTCTAGCTCCATTGACAGGTAAGGGACGTGCTTGGAGATGGACGTCTAATAAAACGCCGGATTCGTGATGGAAGAGGTCTGTTTTACTACTTAATTTATAGACTGATAGAATTGCTGCACCATTTAAAATTATGATGGACATGTCAAGAAAGATAATTAAAGTAAGAAAGCTATTCAGGTTTCATCAATTTCTCTTGTGCAAATACTAGTTCTATTTACTTGTCTCTTTTGAGTTTCACTTTTGTCTCTATTTTTTTGCTCTTCTACTTACATTCATATGGCTTTACTTGTCGTGACCTATATTTGTCACCCCAAACATTCCTATCTAATTCAGCATATACATTTAGGTGAATTTCCCATGGATTGTCCGCTCCATGACAGCCGACTGCAAGTCCATTACAAAGGGATGCTGCTTAATGAAGAGAAAACAGTTTTTTACGATACTCGAGTTGATAATGATGGTCAACCTTTGGAGTTCAGCTCTGGAGAAGGCCTTGTGAGTTATTTGTTGTATCCAAAAATTAATTATTGGTTAAACGATAGGGCTTAAGTCTGAAATAAGATCTCACTGTGTCACCATAATGTAGTGGCAGGCTTTTTTATTCTAATATTGCAGTGATGTTAATCTTGATAGGTGCCTGAAGGATTTGAAATGTGTGTCCGCTTGATGCTTCCTGGAGAGGTTGCTCTGGTCTCATGTCCCCCTGATTATGCCTATGACAAATTTCCAAGGTTCACTTCCAACTTAAGTAAACCTATATCAACTTGCTTTATGTCAATATCTGACTGGTGCTATTGATAGGCAATCCCTTGACTCTCTTCATCTCAGTATTCTCCTCTCTCTCTCTTACTCTACTACCATTAACTGCTCTTTTTTATTCCATCTGATTAGGCCAGCTAATGTTCCTGAAGGTGCTCATGTCATATGGGAAATTGAGCTTCTCGGTTTTGAAATGCCACAGGTAATTTGCATACAATCTTTGGAATCGTATCGGTCCATTGTAGATCTGTTGCTGTGAGATTTGGCAATCTAACTTCCCTATAAAAAAAATATAAGCATTTTTGTTAAATTATTTTATCTGTGTGTGAAAAGTTGGACTGTACAGCTGTATATGTCGTCTCTGGATTTGTTAGAAAATTATTAACAGGTCGACTAAGAACTTGAAAAAGGTGCTGGCTGCTAGTTGTGCCATGAACCTTCCTGTTGCAGAGAAAATTGAATACTAAAAAGATGGCTGCAAATTGTATATCTACCTGTAACTCAAGAATCTCATAATTGTGAGGAATTTGCAGTTATTCTTCTAATTCCTTACACTTTATTGTGAGATTTTAATGCGATCTTGCATTTAGCGTACCTGGGCAAAAATGCAAATTCTTACTGTCAACAAACTTGGTAGCATCTAGGTTGTTATAGTAGACATGACTTTTCAAAGGTATGTGCATGCACAATAGGGGTTGACGTCCCTCATCAAAGGAAAGGGGTTATGTCAGAGTTTTTTAGCATGATTCGAGTTCTGTTTGAGTTATTTCCATTTCATAATGATGTTGTGGAAAAAGTTGCTAAATGTGAACGCCTTTACCAGCCCCAAATCAATATAAACATAGAAACATGGAGTCCTGAGTACCAGCGAGGCCCCTCTTCTTGCTCTGAACAGTTTTGCTTATACTGTTCTATTGACTTTATTGCAGGACTGGACGGGTTTGAACTTCAGAAGTATAATGGATGAAGCAGAGAAGATCAGAAGCACGGTATAGCATTTTATTATTGACATGTGCTGCTTCGTGTTGCAGCCTAGGAAATCTGTTTTGCATAAGTTCGAAGGTGAAAGAAGCTAGATAGAGTTCAGCAAAAATACATAAGAACTTTAAGTCTTTGTATCCCATCATGTCGCCAAGACTTTGTGCGTTCTGGGTAAACATTTAAGTTTTCAAGCTTGTACTGGGCATGAAGAAAATACATCACTATCGACGTGATTCTTTCCGTAAGCTGATCTGCTTATATTTTCTGCAGTGAAGAGATACGAAGACACAAATGCATTTATATGTTGATGTAAATCTGCAAAGATATACTCATTCACCATGCACATGGAAAGTCCTGTATGTATTTGCACATATAAGTTAGCATCCTTTCATAGGTGCATGCATACATATCAGGAAGATGCCCATCAGGAATGGATGGGTAAGGTCCCTAACAAAATTGGAAGTTGGAATTAGTCGCTGTCCATGTACTTATGCATTTTCTTACAGAATAGTTTACAGTTTTGTACGCTAGATCTGCCATATACTTTAGAGTGTATATGTTACTAACCCACTATATCTACTTTTTGACAGATACTAATAAGATTTTCTAAAAAAATGGTTGCAGGAGTTTCTGAATCATTATGCTTAAATTGTCCTCCAGTTGTCTTGAGCAAATATTCTGTTGCGTGATCATAGAATTTAAAACTATGGAAATTTAATCAGAACGGGCAGTTGAAATTTGAAGCTATGAAAGTACTTGAGGATATATTATAATGTTTCGTAGACATATTTTCAACTGTATGAATTTAGGAAAGTTTGCAACACACATGCCACAATGGCTCACTGTTTGGGAATAGTTTGGACACCTTAACAGTCATAGCTTTGAGAAGGTTATTTCATTCAAAACATTTTGTGCATATGGATTATTTCAACTGGTATGGCACTTCTTTTAGAAAAATTGCACAAGTCCCAAACTTTATGTATAGAATGCAATGCAGTCTTAAAACTTGTTTTGGAAAGTGCAATTAAGGAGGCCATGTAGGCAATTTTCAAGTGATTTGTGAGCAATTTTAGGTATTGTTTGTCAAGAGGCTTTTTGAAAAAGGTTTAGGACTGAATTGGTGCAATTGAAAAGCTTAGGATTTGATTGCATTCCATTCATAAGGTTTACAACTTCCAGTTCACTTTCTTCGATTTCTTTCCATTGGATTTGTTTTGTTATATGTCATCATAAATCACCTCACATGCGTTGGAGTCAGCTCTTTTGTCCTAAATAGTATGTGAATGAGTACATACTGCCGTTTAACATATAGAGTATCTGCTTTCCTTCGTGCTATTCTTATTGCATGTTTTCTCTTCAATGAGTACTTAAAGGAGTGTGTGAACAAGTACATACTGCCCTTTTATGTAAATAGGGTGCCTGCTTTCCTTCATGCTATTCCTTATTGCATGTTTTTTCTTCGATGAGGACTTAGGTTTGAACTTCTCAATTCTGATATGTTCCTTCTACTCTTGCTGGTTAAACTTTTTCAGGGGAACAGGCTCTTTAAAGAAGGAAAATTTGAGCTTGCTAAGGCCAAGTATGAGAAGGTGCCTGGCCATTACCTGCATTACCTTTTGCATTTGTTGTTAAACTCTAACAGGAAAGGAAAACTTGCACGAGTCCTTGGGATATTTCCTGTTGTCTCTTTCATTTGGAAGAAAATGAATGCTGTAGTTGATATATATCCGATGAAAAACGTATGACTGTAGCAATATCAGAAGTTTCTCCCAGACTGACAACCCCATGACTCAGTGACTTGTTTTGTGTAATTAGAAATCATATTACCCTGAAACACGGGAATTCTTTCCTTGGAAATTTTACTATCCAATGCGAAATGCCTATGGCATGTAGTATTTGGAAACCTTCTGATCATCAGATTGTGGTGCGGGTGTAATAAATTGGGATCCCATCCATATTGAGAAATTTAAGGAGATTAGAATGCAGGGAATCTTTAACATAGGTAGGAGTGAGAAAGTTTTTCACATGAAATACCAATCACAATTCACTGTTCTTGAGCCGTGCTATTTTGCAGGTACTTCGTGAATTTAATCATGTCAACCCCCAAGATGATGAGGAAGGGAAGGAGTTTCTGAACACAAGGGTGAGTATTAGAAATAGATTCCTGTCCAACAATGGTCGAGTTTCAAGAAAACTTTCTTAGTTTGCATTCCATTAACATTCTCTCTCCCTCTCTCCGGCTATAGATCTCTCTATGACCCAGTTTTAAGAACCCGTTCTTGATTGAGATGTTATAATTTAAGCTAAGCAAGCTCCGGACTGACTTTTTCTTTTCTTATTTGCATGCAGAATCTCCTGCATCTCAATGTTGCTGCTTGTTATCTGAAAATGGGTGAGTCCAGAAAGTCCGTCGAGGCGTGCAACAAGGTGACTGTTAATTCATGCGTCCTGTACACTTCATATTTGCTTTATAGAAATGAAGAGATGTTTTTCTATTTTCTATTTGAGCATATCCTGGCATAGTTGGGATCGTCAAAATTTTATTTCCTAGAATTTAATCCTTGAGCTTCAGTGCTTTGCATGATATCCGTGTTTAAATTTTACCTGGTAATCCTGTTTTCTGCTTCTAGTCTTTTCTAGTACCTGTATTGACATAAAGAATTTTTTACTGTGTTGTTTGTTGTGGGAGAGTTTGTTTTATTATTTTTCACTAGTTTAGTGTAGCTGGTGTATATTCTGCTGCTCCATATTCAGCGATGAAGATTCATAGAAAATATATATGCTAATGAAATTTACAGATTCAGTCGAGAGAAAGAAACTTATAAGGCCATAGTTGCTTGTGGTCCCTACATCGCCATTTTCCATTTAAGATTATGGAATAGGTGTAACTAAACCTGCTTTTTAAAAATATTTGGCAGATTAGACTTTTAAGATCCATATTGCATAAGCAAATCTATGGACATAAAGCCACTGTTGGCTTAAGAAAGTATTTAAGAGGCAGCTTATCGATTCCGTGCTCCACTTGTTTATGCACTCTGTGGAGTCCTCACCTTGTCTGGCCTTGATTCGATGGTTTCGGACATCATTGAGGTCAACTGCATATGGATGGAAACTACATCAGTATCTCGGAAGCTGTGAATGGATTGATGTCAGATACAGAGCAGCTCATTGTATGATTTTTGGCTTACCTTTTAGCTAAATGGTTACTGTTTTGCATCCCGAAATCTCTGGATATGTGCCCGGCCCTTCAAGGAAGTACATTGACATGCGTGGGTTGGTTCCCTGAGTTTTGTTACTGAGGAAATGCCATCGTCAAAACTTTGCAAATGTTACCATGGAATTGTAGGTGAAGGATTATGGATAGGGTAAAGCTTATTGAATATGCAGAACCGGGTGACGCCACTGCTTGCTGGGGTGGATTATAGTTGGTTGCTCCCGTTTCAAACTGTCAATATCTAGCCTAATTGATTGTTATCTTCATTGCATTGTGTTGTCACTTAATTTCGGAAGCCCACCAAGGTTATTTAGCTGTCTCTTGGTCTGTGAAGTGAAATCATTACTGCAAAAAATCTATGCTTCCTGTGATAATGTGGCTGTGCCAAATCTACTCGTTGAAGTTGTGGATACCATGGTTTATGAGGGCATATCTTGCGTTTCACATTGTGAATGAATAACCCGCTTAATCAAATTCGATTATTCAGAAAACTTTCGGCTCTCCTAATTCTGCAGTTCCTGTGGATGTGTTTAGACAAGTTATTAAGGTTCATTTGTTTGATGTCAAGAGCTTAGTACTTGCTCTGCGCAGGTCTTGGATGCAAACCCTGTACACGTCAAGGCTTTATACCGCCGTGGAATGGCCTATATGTCAGCTGGAGATTTCGAGGAAGCTAGAGCTGATTTTAAAGCGGTAAGCAATTGCTACAATCAGCAGGTTTTGGTGTGTATTTGCGTGACTTTTTCTTTTTGACAATTTCATTTCGATGTGGCCAGATGACAACTATCGACAAGTCTTCCGAACCCGATGCAACTGCAGCTCTTCTGAAGCTGAAACAAAAGGAGCAGGTCAGTCTGAGTAGCTCTTTTACTTTGTATCTTTCATGAAGGAAAAAAATGCTCTTCGGGGGTGATATATGAACCCTGGCACGATAACAAGCAGGAGGTGGAGAGGAAGGCCCGGAGACAATTCAAAGGGCTCTTCGATAAGAAGCCAGGAGAGATTGCCGATGCCAGAACTGAAGGTACAGAAGAACACGACGGCATTGTCGAAGCTCAGACGAGTGATGGCGAGGTAGAACCAGGTGCAGAGAGCGCACGGGAGATGCACGAATCTGAAGATGCACCCCCTCGAATGGGCTGGTTTTCCCACTTCTGGCCCACCGGTGGAAGGTTATTTACTGCCCTCGGCTTAGAAAGATGCTCCATACTGTAAGTTCCGTCAGAATTCAGAACCCTATATAGTATAGTGTCCCCTACCACCACCACCACCACACCACCCCCACCCCCCCCCCCCCCCCCTTTTTTGGGTCGGACTACCCTCACCCCTTGAATGCGGGGACAAGTTCCAGTTTTCAATCAACCTCGAGGGAATATCTCGCGTCAGACTTGATCACGGGGGAACGGTGCTTATAATCATGCTACTGCATGTTTCCTTGAATTGTTGCTATAATCTGGGAGACTGCGACGGACTAGGAAAATGAGCAGATTATTTTATTTATTTGTTTGGAAAATGCAAATTTCAGCTTCCTCACATCCTTACACAATTCGTTCGCCAACGGGAGGGGGATACATGGTTGGGAGAAAAAAATTACTTATTGCATAGGTACATTTTAAGTTCAGATTTACATAACTAAAAGTTTCATAATAATTCATGCACCGGAAAAAGGTTAAAGCGTGTGGTTACCAAAGTAACCTAATTGGTCAAATTTCTCAGCTTTAAGCATTCGGACTGTAGGAGCATCCAAGTACACATTTAGCAGTGCAAAGACGTTCAACTTTTGTATAAGCCATCCTTGTGGATGCGATCTTTGATATGAGGTGGTTACGTAAAACCATCGTTTTTGGTTGAGCATATATAACTTGGTTAATTATGGAGAATGTGAAAGACGTAGTCGCATTGAGAAAAAGACTAGAACTACAAAGGTGATGAATTGTTGTTACTCAGGAAGGAATTCAAAATAAATCAAGGATGCGAAACGAGTTCGCAATAACAATCACAATAACAGCCACAATTATTAGCCTAAACTGAGCTAATCTAAACTAGAAGTAAAAGCATTCTTATACGAATAAATGATCGATTGACTTGGAAACAAACACCCAGAGCTAAGATAACATGAAACCTGTAGCTGGAAAAAAGCATATTACTTGCAAAATTACAATGAAAAGAAATACAAAACCAAGCTTGAAACACAGTTAAAGTCAAAGCTCAACGCAAAGTTTGGCGCAAGTCGAAGTTTAATTTATTGAAATTGGATATATTGCCAATTCCCTTAGTATTTGGACCCGAGGGAAGAACAGCAGAAGTGCCAAAAGTTGTGTACGGAGCTCACTTTGGTGCCAAAAGTTCCATTTGGATCACTTAAGTGCCAAAAAATTTGAAAAACGATCTTTTAAGTGCCAACTCCGATCTGATTGGTCGGAAATCTGACGTGGCAATTTTTTATTAGTATTTAAAGCCGACGTGGCTCGCCAGAGAGTACAGTCAGCGTGCAAACAATAAAACGACATCGTTTTATTCACGATACCTACACGGCGCCGTTTTATTTAGCTTCTTCTCCCCAAAATAAGAACCATAATCCCCAAATTGAAAGATGGAGGGCGGAAGCTCAGCAGCGGCTCACATTCGGGATACCTAACCCGCGAAAATCAGAACCTTAAATCCCCAATTATCAGCTCGCGCTTGCAGATGGAGGGCGAAAGCTTCAGCAGCGGCTCACATTCGATTAAAAAAAGCAAATTAGATGGTGAGTGTTACTGTTTTTGTGGGTTACCGAGTCCGAGAAGAACATCTTGGACTCAATTAAATCCCGGGAGAAGATTCCATGGATGCGGCAGGTATAGAGAAGGCTCAAAGTGCAAATATTTCAAATGGGTTGATGCCAAATTCTCCGGTCGAGCCACAGAAGTGATCTTGCAGCTACTTGAAGGACGACATCAACCTCCACCTACATTAATGACGAGTTAGATGATGTCGACTCAATGCAAGCTCAAATGAAGGGTTTAACATCTTTAGTCGACCATTTGAAGGGGGAAGTTTCAAGGCTGAAAATTGAAAGAAACTTTTATCGAGCATTGATTGTGTTGTTGTTCTCTTGTGTAGTATATTCAAATTTGAAGTGAGCAATGAGAACAAGTTTGTATGTCTACCATAATCGAAGATGTGGAATATTTACTTGTATTTGGTCATTTGTAAGTAAAGTGTGTTACTGGTTTGCTGCAAATTGTATGGAACAAAAGGTTTTGTTCCAATCTATGGTGGAAATGGAAGGTTGGAGTTGGAATTCATTGGTTGTGAGCACTTCAAATTTTTTTTGCTTGGTTCTGTATTGTATATATTGGTTTGCTTGGTTTTTGCATCAGATGTAATGGTTTGCTGCAACCATTACTGCAAACCATGAAGAAATTAAGGGGTGGTAACAATTCACGAGTAACTATTTCAGTGTCATAAGTTGTAAATAGTGATCGTTTCAGTGTCAAGTTTTTCTGAAAGTGATCATTTTAGTGTCAATCGCGATGAAAAAGTGATCACTCGTGTTGCATGAGTTTAAAAATAAGAACAAGCCAGTTTCAACTATGTTTCCATTGGCTTGCACTAGTCGTGGTGCATGTTGTTGCACCAGTTGAGTTGCTGGTGCATCTTATTCTTGCACCAGCTCATACAAGTGTTGGTGCAAGAAGACGCACCAGCACCCAGAGTTGCACCGAGAGCTGTGTTGGTGCAACAGGATACACCAACAGCCACAATTGCACTAGTGTTGTCCTAGTGCATCTTGTTCTTATACCAGTACTTGTATTTGCTAATGTAGGAAGATGCAGCACCCACAACTTCAACCAGCAACAATAATCAACCAACCACTTCCAAAAACAACATCAGCCTCATAACAAGGTGCAAGACAAGAAAATAACAAAAACATTGTTGCCATTGACATTGATTGGTTCTTTACAAAAATAAACATGTCCATAAAAAACATCAGTCCCCCAATCAGTCAACGATCCCCTCCCACCTAATATGTCAAAGCGAACACATAAAAACAATGACAGCAATCCCCATCAGTGAAGATACCATGTCCAGCACTCTCCCATTAGTTAATATGCACAACACCCCCGGCTCCTTTTCCTTTTGCATTTTTGAATTGATTCATAATTCGAGCACTCTTTCGAACTGGACACGTAGGTTCGTTAACTGGCATTTCTGTCACATTCTTCTTAGCATCAACATTTTTTTTTGTAGCACGTGTCATGTGTGGGGACCTCTCCGTAGGAACATTGGTCCCATGATCAGTCGGTTGAGATGGAACTAGTACTGGTTCTGTTGGTTGAGATGGAACTGATACAACTTTATTTGTTGGTGGATGTTTCGAAGCTGTACTCGCTGTCTTCTTCTTCTTCTTCTTCTTTGTGCTCTTCTTTGGCTGCGCCCTTGACTCTTGAGTTGGCCCACCTTGAGAGATAAGCACCTCCGAACTTCTTCCAAGCTACAAGAACATAATTATATTGTTAACCAAATGAATCAAAATACCATAAATTAAATACATGAGTCCTACAAAATCTTACATTGAAAATAGTCATTCCAGTACGTTCATTTGTGTAAATCCCATAACCATATTGCCTTATTCTTTTTCCAAGAACCCCTCTTGTACGCTGTGGTGCATCACTTTGAGCAACTTGTGGAGAAGCAATTTGTGCAACTTGTGGGTGAGCAACTTGTGGGGCTCCCTGTCCTTGTGCAACTTGTGCAGTTGGTCGTCTTCTCACCTGAGAAATACATAACAAAATTAAACTCAGTCCATAAAAGACAAACACAACAATGTATAGCTTACTGGATATTTTTTCCTCGTTTGTTCAACAGTGGACTCAGTTGTTATTGTTGCTGTCCTGCCTGTACTTGTCCCTGCACTTGGGCCTAGAACAGGGCCTTTTGTTGGCCCTTCAGTAGGCCCAACAGCAACCTCTTCAGTAGGTGTTGTTCCTGGCCCACGATCAGCTCTTGCAACAACTTCTTGTTCACGTTGCCTTTTCAACTGACAACCTTTCTTATTGTGCCCTTCCTTGTGGCAATAGGAGCATTTTATCTTCACCCCGGTCTTACTCATCCTTTGACTTGATGCCTCTCCCTCCTGTATTTTTCGTTTTTTCTTTGGCCTTCCTATTTGCTTCTTTAGTGGCAAAGGTAAAGGGCCTTCACAATTTGTTGGCTCCCAAAATTTGCTACTTCGGATAGGCTGTATCATGAATTGGTACGAATTAAGGTATGAGCTTTTTTTGTACCAATCATGTAGGTAATCCTCTGGCCTTTCTTGCTTCATCAAAATGGCACAAATAGCATGGGGACAAGGAATTCCACTTAGTTCCCAGGCTCGGCATGAACACTTTCTTCTATCTAGGTTGACCACATATTTATCATTATTGTGAATGATCTCATATCCATTTTCTCCATTCCAAACCGGATGGCAGAACCTACTAGCAGCAACGTTCGCATCCAATTTCTTTACAATTCTAGGACCGCATTCTCTGCTCCACTTGGTAGCCTCATCTCTTTGCATGTGCAGTCTGGTCATGACCATAACGCGAATATCATCAAGCATGCTGATGATTGGCTTGTACCTGGCCTCTAAAATTCTGCCATTGAAAGCTTCACTGAGGTTGTTGTCAATTATATCACATTTAAATTCTTCACTGAAGAAAGCCCGACACCAGTGCTTAGCTTCTGTCTGGAATAGTGCATCAAAGCCTTCCTTTGTCAGCTGCAACAACCCTTGTTTGGCTAATCTGAAGTCAACCATGTTAGTACTCTTCGCTATCTGCCAAAACTGCTTCTGCAGCATATCTCCTTTGTAGTTCTTTGCCCAATTTGCATATATGTGTCTCGCGCACATTCTATGCTCAGCATATGGCATAAACTCAGCCAATGCAGGAACAAGTCCCTACAAAAATTCAAATCAACAAATACAAGTCAGAAAATACTCAAGTAATTAATATTAAAAGGGAATTAATTCACAATGGTATTACCTTTTGTTGGTCGCTCATGAATGCCCATCATCCCCCATCGTTTATGTCAATGTCAACCATTAAATTCTTGAGGAACCAGGACCAAGTATCATTGTTCTTAATCTTGACAACTGTCCAAGCTATCGGAAACATTTGATTGTTGGCATCTCTCCCCACAGCAGCCAACAACTCCCCCTTGCATAAACCCTTAAGGAAACATCCATCCAATCCTACAACTCTTCTACAACCAGCCAAAAAGCCCCGTTTGCATGCATCAAAACAAACATAAAATCTATCAAACCTAGGCCCACAATCAGGCAGTGGCCTCTCTACAACCTCAGCATATACCCTACTAGATGGGTTTTGAACCACGCATTCGCGGGCATAATCCCATACCTGCGCATATTCTTCCTTGTACCGACCCATCAAAATTTGCATCACCCTCTGCTTAGCTCTCTTGCACTGATTCCTCGACACATTAACTCCTACCTACTCCTTCACTAACTGCTTAAACTGAGGGCATTTGATCTCGGGCATTGCTTTGATTGTATTGAAAAAATGTTTCGACAACCACACACTTGTTACCCTTTTGTTATCAAAATGAATTGAACAAGTATGTTCCTCCTGGAATGACCTAATCTGGAATGACCCATTCCTACTCACAGCGCCGTACAGCTTCCAAGGACAATTGGGTTGTGAGCACTTAGCTCTCACAAATTCCTTCGTATTTCTAATGAATTCTATGCTCCTCTGTTCAACAATAGAACTCTCCACAATAGCTTCTTTTAATTGTTTTGCATCATCAAATTTCATGTCGACACACATAACAGATTTATCGACATTTGGATCATAGCAAGGGTACTTACTTTTCCTTCGACAAACAGGTTCTTCATTATCATTCTCTGAACCAGCAGTTTCATTGCCGCAACTTTCTGTATCTTCACTTCCATTACCTCCAGCTGGAACTCCATCCAACTCAAGCCTTTCTCCTAAAACTGAAAGTTTTTTTCTGAAAAATTCCCTTTGATTTTGTCTTGACTGTTGGAGTTCATCATCGTCTTCATCACTTAAGAAATTGACAATTGGCAAAGCTTCATCTTCTGACACACTATATTGAGCAACTTCCCATTCTAATCCAACTAAGTCTTCATCAGCCACATCTTCAACTGAGACTTCACCCACGTTTCTATCAAAATCTGTCTCCCTCTCCTCCCTCACTTGGCTCTCATGTTGCCCTCCATCTAACGTAGACTCATCCCCAACCTGATTACTCGCTTGAATATGATCATCATTTCCATCATCCTCATCAGCCTCATCATCACTATAATATTCAACATAGACCTTAGCTTCATCGCCGTGAAGATAATGGTAAATGATATCCTTAATACCATTATCGTCACTAAAAAATCTCAAACCACCATTCAATTCCTTCCCAGGAACACAATAGTGCAATTTTTGCACTTTGCATCGACAAATATACACTAAATCCCTCACAAAATCAATATATGATGGCTTCCCAACATTGACGTAAATAGTACATTGATTCCCACCACAATATTCCCAGTCGTCAGCGCCAATAACAAACTCTCTACCATAGCAAACAATGACGCCTACATGATTCCCCTCCATTTCGATGCTGCACCCAAAGAATAAAAATAAAAAGTCATTCATTGGGACCACATAGCAGAATCATCAACAACTTTACATTTAATTGATTAAACAATTATCGAAAGAAACAAAGGAAGCCGATTTATTCAATTGATTAAACAACGTGAGGTCCCAACACCCATTTTTCAATTCGACCCCATTTGGTCCCCACAGAAACACTAACTAACTAAATAAAGTCGGGTCCCCAGCACTGTCCCCAGCACTCCAACCAGTTTCCCTTTGCGCTGAGCCCTCATTTTCCCCTCCACGCCCTATTTTTCAATTCAATCACATTCGGTCCCCACAATTTTGCCCTCCCCACAAAAGTAATTAAACAAAAGTGAGGTCCCCACCATTTTTCCCTCCCCATAAAAGCAGTCCAAGCCGAGCCCTCATTTTGCCCTCCGTGCCCCAATTTGCCTGTTGAAACCCTAAATTCTCCACCCAATTGACCCACGGCGAGAACATGACAAACCTGAGTGAAGCGGCTGAGCGACGGTGGGCCAACAAACAATGGCGCAGCTACGACGACGGCCGACCGACGGCGGGTGAGCGACGGTGGGCCAGCAAACAATGGCGCAGCTACGACGACGGCCGAGCAACGACAGGTGAGCGACGGTGGGCGAGCGACGGAAGGCAATCGAGGGAGCTACGGCGAGCGAGGGAGTGACGTGAGAACTCAAGATTCGAGCCCTAATTTTAGTCCCCCTTCTTCAGCGACGTCGTTTTTTAAATGCAGTCCACGTAGGAAAATGAAGCGACGTCATTTCTTGTAGAGGATGGAAAACGACGTGTTTATGTCATTCCACGTGGACTGCGATTTAAAATATTTGCCACGTCAATTTATTTTTCTTTAATATAAATGCCACGTATTAATTTGGCCGGAATCTCTCGCCGTTGGCACCAAAGTGATCATTTTTCCTCCGATTTGGCACTTAAGTGATCTAAATGGAACTTTTGGCACCAAATTGAGCTCCGTACACAACTTTTGGCATTTCTGCTGTTCTTCCCCCATTTGGACCCAAGGCCCAAGGGGAAGGAATCTCATACTCCATTAGGCAAGACGTCCCCAATCTGATTTACACGAACGATGCTAAACCGACGAAAACTAAGATTGACGTTGTAGTACGGGAGACAGCAGGACCGAATTTTTTCCATCCTCAAGCGGTGTTTCATGAAAGAAAAGGCACGAATCTTTGCAGGCGTGAGTTCATATGCAAGATATGACATCCGACATACGCATCTAAGGGGTCATAATTTGCAACATCCTAAACCAAACAAACTCGAACCATTTATATGCAGAAAGACAGTCGTTAGAGTGCCCGCTAAGCCGACATGATTCACACTAATGTTTTATCATGTCCTGTTAATGACCAGCATGTACTTTTGCTCCTCTCCGAGGAAATAGTCCGCCTTCGATGCCAAGATTGCAACGTGAGAGAGTCCTTCGCTATTTCGTCACATCAAAAGTGGCACGGAGATTGGATATCATGACTGGACATTCTCTTTTCTCGTCATAGTCAGCATACTCACCTTCTGATAAGTCAATATTCTCAAATAACATTCCCTCCAACTGCACAAAAGAAAATTTAAAAGGCAAAAAATATGAGTTGACCATTGATGGAAGCATTTTTTATCCCCTCGTATAAACATGTTTTGAACGCAATTTTAGAACTGATCACTTAAGCAAATGCTCTTTACTCATTACTGAGTCAGACCACAGATCACAAAAGATGGCAGGGAGGGACATGATGATTCAAGGTATATGATTGTTGATGTGCCTAGGAGTATGCACAAAGAGTAAAGCAATTTAAAGCATATCTGGACTCAAAGGTAAAAGAATTAACATAATAGAACAGACAAAGTGAACACCCTTGATACAATTCGTACTATTGTACTCATGGCATGGTCTAAAACCTGACGGACATTCAATTGTCAATTCAAGTCTGGGATAAAAACTGATTGGGCATATAAAGCATGAGGCTTAGCGCAAATTAGGAGATCGATACTAATAGTGCCACCCCATGATTACACTTCTTCATCGGACCTCATAAGTCATACCAAAGGATCAAGTCTGCAGTTAAAAGTATAGTCAAGAGAATGACACTCCAAAACGATTAAATAAACTTCAATTAGGCTATCCATGTGAAACTGTACATGGTCGTAAGAAATAATATGTACCCATGACCAAGAGAAATAGACAGCTGTGCTTCTTGCATTGTTCCCTTATCACACGAAGACCACATTATAGGAACATAAGAACATAAACATGCACATATATGATGACATAAATCATTTGATAATGGTGACAGAACGCTTCACCAATGCAATGCGCAGAGAAAAAATCATATCCAACTAATCATCGGTTAAGAGAACTTACAGAGTCAGCCTTCCAAAGACCACGAAAAGAATATTCAACAGGTTCATAGCCTCTGCAGTCAAATAACATCAATGGTGCATATTTCCCTGATTCGCTGTCTTCCTGTGTCAGTGCCCGACCTCGGCCAGGGATCATTGTCACAGTTCCCTCCCTCTCGCAGAACTTGCACTGTGAAGGAAAGGTATACATTCAGAGGATTATCAGCAAAATCAGATGAATCAGTTCACTATTAATTCAAGGACAGTCAAGTAGTCAAACACTCTATATTGATAGCAGCAACTAATTGACAGATGCATTACTACATTCGAGGCTTTGAGCATGCAAATAACTAACTTTTCACCACAAATCCCTAAGAAACCTAACCTATTTGACAGATGATGGCCTCTGCACCGTGTAGAGACAATATGGGGGTTACCTTTTGAACAAGATGAGCGGTTCCCTTGCTATTAGGAATCGGAAAGCTTTCCCCCAGCGTCAAACATGTCTCCTTCTGAGTTACCTCGCCACACCTCCCACATCTCATCTGAAAACAGGATTATTAGCAAACAATGCAAACGCAACTCGAATGTCAATAGCGAAACCGCTGTGAAGGAGCAAATTTGGTTTACAACGCAGAAACTCTGTCTATTTCATGCTCGCGGCGTAAAATGTTATCCTCCACATTAATTCGGGGTGAGATATCCAATGCATTCATTTGTGGAAGGCATGAAGATTTCCACAGGGAACAGAACGGAACGGGATACGATGTGGATAAGAAAAACAACAATTGCAACGATCGTCGTTGTCAGTGCTTGACTAGGAGGGCGTGCGTAGCTAAACACGGCAGGAGCTCACCAGAAAACACAAAATTTCACGCTAACAGCTCCAAACGTTGGCGATCCAGGTACATAACTCAGTTCGCTACAGATTCTAACACGAGTCAACAAGCACGATCGCCAAACCGAACTTAGCCACGCACCTCCGCAGGAACTACTCGTCAAGAGAATCATCGCGATAGGTACGGACGAAGCCACGAACCAAAAGCAAAACGAGGCGAAAACGAAATGCACGCAGAAAGCCAATCGAGCAAGCAAGCAAAGCAAACTCGACGAAAACGATCCGGAAATATCACCAGCCGAAACCAGAGCAATCATCAGCTCGGAGCAAACATAAGATCATCGCAGAGAGGAGGATAATCAGCAGGACTCAAACCGAATGAGAATCGGGGAGCTCTGCGATGCGCCGGCGGCGCGATTCACGCGGGGGCAGCGGAATCGAAACCGGAAGACGGAGGCGGAGGCGACTGACCTTGAAGAAGTAGGAGAAATCGGGATCGTCGCAACCGTTCTGAGGCTGGAGATTGGCGAGGCTCTCGAGCTCGGCGTTGATCTTCAGCATGTAGTTCACCATTTTTCCCCACCTTTCTTCCTCTTTGAGCTTCGAGAACTGAACGAGTTCTCTCTCTCTCTCTCTCTCTCTCGTTCGTCTCCCTCTCCTCAGTCTCACTGGATTGCTCCGGGCGAAACGTCGGGGGGCTTTCTGTGAATTTCTAATTGTTCTGAAATTTCACTTATGTCACTAGCAAAAGGAAAAAAAGAAGAAAAGAAAGCTTATTTACTCATATCACTAAATTTTGTTAAATAAAACTTTTAATTTATTTTTACAACGCGTCTAGATTTGTTTTAGAACGTGTCTAGATAGAATTTTACTCTTTTTTACCTTATCTATTTAATATTGGTCTCGCGGTGATTGCATTTTTAGTTTTTTTTAATTATAAATATCTTATCGCCGCTATATATAATTGATGAAATGTAGATTCGCAAGTAATTTTTCATAATTGATTTCGAAAAGCTTAAACAAAACAAGCAGTATACACAAAATAGGCTTTATATGATGAGAAGAGGTTAATTGAATGGTTTTTTTTTTTACGAAGAAAAAAGATTTGGTCGTAACGGGACTTATTTTGTTAAATAATATAAATGGTTATAAAAGATAATTTATACATATATGCATGTATATGTCTTCTCGATTTTTTAAAGTTAAAATGAATATCTAAATAGGGATAAAGGGAAAAAAAAAAAGGAAAGGTGAAGGAAGTATGGAGGGAAAAATGGAAGATAAAGTAAAAGAGAAAAGAAGAATTATGAGGGAAAAACTAAAATGGTCCAAGCCCTAGAGTCCAATAAACCCGTCCTAATAAGGTAAAAATTTAGAGATTACAAAACTAAGGACACAAGAAATTTAACTCGAACGTGCACGACACGAAACTTCATTCGATTCGGTCGTAGTGCGATAGTAATTTTCTCAACCTTGTTCATATTCGACAAATTTTCAAGAAAATCCTCTTTTGTTCATATAATCATCAACCAAGAATATTATGATATCTCACCAAAAAAGGAAATGCCAATCCAAGATCCATGGGACAAAGGTAAGGACTGCCCCCAATATACCATTTCTCCATTCTCACTGATATCCTGATCTTTAATCAATACATTGCCAGAGATAGTGCCAGAAAATTACCATATTGCAGCAAATATTTCCCTTCTACAAAATTGGAGAAATAATGCTCAGTCATGTCCAAATTTGAGAACCTAAGAGGGGACCCAAAAAGGAATGAATCCACATCTAATTTAAAATAGGGATATCTCATGAAGGGTCATCAATGAATCCAGAGTTCAAGAGGGTTTTTTTACTCATTTTGCTCCAGGGATTTCGTTTGGAACAAGTGGAAATCCATATGGGTTCTCCGAGTAAACTCGCCATTTTGTTCCTAGTATTATTCCTAGTCGATCATGCGTCGGTCGCGCAGTTTGTACGTGGGCGAAGAGATGTTCGGCGAGAGAGCAAGAACGCGGCGAAGACGATCGAGGTTCTTGGTTATCCAGTCTCATGTTGATATGCTTTCTATGAAGATACTGTGATATGTAGGATGCCATGTAAGTTTGACTTGATGTTTTGGCAGACAGAAGATGGGGATGTGATTGACTGTGTTGACATAGAGAAACAGCCTGCTTTGGATCATCCCCTTCTCAAGGGTCACAAGATACAGGTTTTGCTTTCCAACCGGGCACTGCACATTACGCATATTATATCCACGTAAATTAGCATGATAATTCAGAAACCGAGTCTAATTCGCATTGTCGAGCCCTTTCACCTGATGCCAAAAAAAAATTTGTATCATCTAGACTTGATTAGATGCTCGAGAATAATCGTAAAGTTTCTAGTGTACAAGAGATAATATGTAAGTTGATCCTGATGCTGTCCCTATTGACACAGATGAAGCCCAGTCCAATGCCTGAGATGATCAAGACCAAGGATGATAGGAGCAGACAAGTGAAGATTGAGCTAAAGAGCGTGAATTGTCCACGGGGAACGGTTCCGATCTTGAGGACTAATATCACAACTAAACCCACCCCGCCGGTTAACTCTAGGGGTTACGGGTTCGGATTCAGATCATCTCGAGTAGAGGTTGAAGTAAACTCTGCTAATATATTTGTATGGAAATTTGGGGAGGATAAACAGTTATTTTGACAGAAGATGACAAGCTGATACTTTCTGAATTGGCATTTTAATGACACCAATTGACATCTTATTTGCATTACATTGCAATGGGATCTCCTTCATTTGTCTAATTTCGCCTCTTTTTGCTCGGAATTTAACTTTGTGCTTTTATAATTATGTTTGTGTGCGCAGGATGCTTATGCTACAACAATGGACACGAGTGGTGGTTACACAGGCATATTGGGGTGGGTGAATGTGTGGAACCCTAAGGTTGAGATCCCTGACGAGGCGACTGGAGGTTACATTTGGGCTCAAACGGGTCTTTCTGGTGACAAAAACCTCAATGTTGCTGGGGCTGGATGGACGGTGAGGATTTTCCTTTTTCTCCCACAAATTTCAGAGCAAGTAGGATTAATTTCAAAGCTTAAATCTTCTGTGTCGGCAGGTGAACCCGACCGTGTTCGGCGACAATAGTACGCGGTTTGTAATATTCTGGACGGTAATCCAGCTTCGATCGCTCAAAACTTCGACACGTCCCTTGGAAAAGCTGTTTTTCTTTTGTCTCTTCAATCTACTTCTTGTGAAGCTTGTCTACTGAGATATTCATGTCTGTTCTTCCAGAGAGACAACTTCATCAAAACAGGCTGCTTCAATCATATCTGTCCTGGGTTTGTGCAAATGAGCCAACACCAGTACTTAGGAGGTGTCATAAGCCCTATCTCCGTATACGGCGATCCCCTTAAACAGTACCATATCCCACTCCTGATTTTACAGGTAAATTCGCTTGCTAATCCACATATAAGAAGCTCATCTGTTGTATCAGTGAACTCAGGATACACCATTTTATGTCAATATCGTTTTCTTCATCAGCATACATATATCGTCGTGCACGCGTGTGCGAGCATCATATGTACGTGCACAAATGCATGCCACGAGTTTATTTAATATGGGAGTTTTCGCCTCAGCTACTATCTTTTTTGCATAATAACGAAACTATAATCCCATATCTAATGTATTAGTCTCCTGGCGGGTGCAAACACTGCGAAGTGAGAACTCAGTAAATTCCTTCTTTCTAGGAATTCCCTACACGACATCAAGCATTCATCTTTTTTCTGCCACGAATCACCATTCCTTCCCTGTCCTGCTATAACACGTCTCGATTTCATTGCAGGACAGCGGGACGAAGAACTGGTGGTTAGTGTTCCAGGGCGAGGCGTTTGGGTACTGGCCGAGTGACATCTTCACGGAGCTATCGGCGGGAGCTGAGAGCCTGTCGTGGGGCGGCAAGGTCTTGCGGAGCAGGAGCCAAAGCCAAGATCACCAACGGAATGCTTCGGAGCCCGAGATGGGAAGCGGGCACTGGCCGGAGGAAGGCTTCTCGAGAGCATGTTACATTGACGGCATCGGTGTGGTGAACAAGTCATCGGAGAAATCAGAGCCAAAGTCTCTCACCTTCATGACCACCTCGAGGGAGCGCTATGACGTGAGGGTTGGGACCTGGGAGGGTGCTCAGGGATCGTCCCTCTTCTTTGGAGGTAGTTGACTGTGGATTTTGGAGGACCTCGTCTAAGATTAACAAGCACAATCAATCAAGTTCAACGAATCTTTCCAATTATTTTCCTGGTACAACTGTTTCTGTAAGAATGGGGCTACTTCAGCCTTCTAGGACCCTCGAGTTGTCGACGTCGTGTCGATGTTCTAATGGGTAAAACTGCCCGATTTTCCGTCTAACATTGGTTGCTATCCAATTGGCACAACCTCCATTTGCCATTCTCTCAACCAAACTGAAATTACGACTGCCAAAAGACTGCATCAAACTAAGAATATCTTTAGAGACAGATCACTTAGATCCGATGAGGACTCTCTCGGGTACAGATTACTTTAGATGGGAGGCTGCATCTTTTACCAGAACGAGCTTCTCGGGTATAAAATCGGCCCATTGCAACAAAGAAAGTCGTTGCAGACTGGGTTGCTTAAGCCCATAGCCTCGGAACTGGTTGTCCGACGCCCCCCTCGAGCCCTTTGGACTTTACTTTGCTCCGAATCTTTCTTCGATGTATTCTCGGACTTTGCTTTAATGAATGAGAAACTCTCTTCTCATATAGCATGAGGACCAGCATAGAAGGATGACTCTCATGGTCAATCGAATTGATAAGGATTGAGTGTTGAAATGATGGCGAATTGCTCGATAGGTTCTCCAAGTTGATGAGACAATGAGATATATTTTATCTAGGTATGAAGACACTAAAAGTATCAAAAGTTTTGTTCTACACTTACTTTGGTATCAAAATTTTCGCCAGTTCACTTTAATGTTAAATTAGAGAAAAAAAAGATCACTTCAATGCCTCCGGCGAGAAATTCTGACAAAAATACTATGTGAACTTTCTTAATGACATTGCATGAAATGAAGTGGCGGGCTTGCCTAAAACAACGTTGCATGGGCTTCTCTCAAAATAGGCACATTGTGTTTGTCCTCTCTCCTTCTCGCTATCATTCGATCGCCGTCACTTGCTCACGTATTGTCTCTGTTGCTCTCACTCAATTACTCACTTGAGGTTCGTCATTCTCACTCCCTCGCTCAATTGGCTGGAAAAATTAGGGCTCGAATTTGAGCCGCTCGCCATGTTTCTTCTTCGCTGTCGAGCCGCTCGTCATGCTCCTACTTTCCATTAGCAATATTGAGCTATTAATTTTGGGGAAAACTGAATTAGGGTTTCAATTTAGGATTTGTATTTGGGGCAAAAGATGTAGACGACGTCCGAGTATATATTAGGGGTGTACAAATAAATCAAGAACCGTTTGGAACTGGACCGGACCGCCCAGAACCGGTGGTTCCCATGGAGATCGATCTGGTTCTCAATTCCAATTTATTGGAAACGGTAAATATTAGTTTGATTCTCAATTCCAATTTCTTAGCCATTACATGTCATTCTTAACTATACAAGCTGCCTTTAATCGATTCGCTCATCATCAACAATTTTTCGAACTTGTTTTCAACCCAAACAAATATTAAAAAAATGATTTACCTTCTCCGAAATGAAATTTCTTTTAAAAAAAAAAACAGCAATTAGAAATTTCAGCGAAACAATTGAATCCGGCGATCCGCGACGCAAGTTTTGACCTCAACAGCACGCGATGTGCGATAACCGGGATGGCGACTACCGTACCCAAATCTAGTGCGCGCCGCACCGCAACCCAGCCCATTTTTTTGCTAGATTCCCCTTTTCTTAAATTTTTTTTTTAATTTCCTCGAGTGTTTTTCATGAAACAGAGAGACAGATTCACGAACTGCAAACGAGCTTCGCAAACTGTTGCGCTGTCACCAACTCATTTCTCACTTCGAAGCAAGAGATTTGATCAGCTTCGCTAGAGAGAGAGAGAAAGCTGGCGTCTTCCGCACCTCCTCCGCCGGCCCAGACGCAGGTCCCTCTGCCACCGGACCCCGGTAAGCCCGCCTTCCGATCATCCTCCGAATTCCGCCGTTCTCGCGAAAGTGTCGGTCCGGCTGAACACTCCGTCCCGATTTCGGGGAGTCGATCGCTCTCTCGAGTCGAGCCCCTTCGTTTGTAGGGTGGCGAGGTTGATGTTCCTTCGTCTGCCTCGCCCTGTGTTGATTCCGGTGAAATGCCGGAAGGAAGGAAAACGCGATGCGATGTGACGTGACGTGACGTGATGTAATAAGTGTCAGATCGCGAGAAAATTTGCTCGCGACGGAGCTCTTAGAGTGTGTGAAAAACCTAATTTGTTGAGCGCTGAAGCCGCTTGCTTTTAATCCGGTTGGCTAATTCTCGCGGCCTTTGGCTTGGTGGTTTCGTGTTGAGTCTTGTGGAACTGTGCTGGTGGACGGGCGGTGGAAAAAGTTATTCGAGAAGCCGCCTAAGGCGGCGGTGCATTGGGATTTGCCGTCATTCTGACTATGTATTGTTCTGTGAATGCATCGCGAAAGGATTTTAATTAAATTTACACTACCTTGAAGGCTGCTTGATGTAAAGAAAAAAAAAAGAAATTATGTGAATATACAGATTGTAGATTGTCTCGAAGTGAGGCATTTGTAATAGAAAGTAAATCTTCATTTGTAATAGCAAGCAAGTGGGATTTACTTCGTTTTTTCACTTGTCTGTGTCACTCGTTCCATAATACTTTTGGCCTCTAAAAGTCTGCATTTCCATAGAGGTATAAAGGTGGAGAAATTATGAATACATAGTAATTGGTGGAAGGAAACCATACTTTTAACACGTGCAAGCCAAATAGGAACCAAAATGCTTAAACTAATAGGTGGAAGGAGACTACGTGTATTTGAAGAGCATATAAACCCCGTAGATAAGTGATGTGGGACACATTAACACATAGAATTATCCGCTTCCTTTTGCCTCCATATGCCTTTTAAAGGAATGTTGCCTATCTAGCATGTCTACATCTTCTCTTGTTCTTCACGCACCTACAGCTTTTAGGGTGATGTTGAATGTTTTTGTCGTCTTTTATGTTGTCGACCGAAGAATGGAAGTTCTTGGTTCTCAAATCACAATTAAGCTGCTTCAAGTGCTGATTCTTTCTTTACTACTTTGTAGTACAAAGTGTTTCTTTCTTACCCGGGGTCGGAATCCGTCTGCTCATTGTAGTTGTATCAATTGTACTACCTAATTAGAATACACTGTCATGTGTCATTTGTACGCTAAGATCTATTTCATCGAGCTCGAAACTCTCTTCTTTTTGGTTTTCAAATTTGTTCACATACTGTAGGTGAAAAACCTGTAGAAGATGGAGCTCAACTTTCATTGGTTCCCATTCACATCGTTAGTTGTGCAACTCAACTTCCAGCTGAATTTCTGGAACCCTCTTCTGATAGGCAATTAGTAATTGGTTTTGATTGTGAGGGTGTTGACCTATGTCGTTATGGCAGGCTTTGTATCATGCAGGTATGTACTCCTTTTCAACGATGTTGACATATCATTGAGACATCCAGCATCAATTATCATATATAGAGTGATGATTACCATCAAACATCAACCACGTGATTTGCATTTTCACCTTTTTGATAAGGTGTAAATATGACATCACTAACACTTTCACTTTCCTTTAGACGCCCAATCACCCATATTGGAACAATGGATAAGCATAATTTACAGGACAGATGGTTTGCAAATGGGGGTAGAGTCACATAATTAAACTAAAATGTAACAATTGGGCTCAGGTAATGTTAATGTTCAGCTAATAGGCTATGTAATTTCAAAATTCAATGGCAGAGCCAGAGAATGATATGCGTGTGTACATACGCAGATGATCTGATTTTATCCTAAGTGAATGTATGAAGTAATGTGGTAGGTCTTGTCCACTGTAAGAATAATTCTATGCGTCCAGTTCATATATGCTGTTAAGAAGCAATTGGATCCTATTTTCCATGCTGTGTTGCTTCCTTAGTCTCTTTCTGCTCATTGAATGTTGAATGTCCTTTAGGTTTTCGTGCTTGTAATCGAGTAGAGTTTCCAATAGTTACACCTAAGAACTCATTTTTTTGGAAAATTAGAGTTCTTTTCTGATGATTCAAGCATCGTGTAATCTGCAGCTAGCTTTTCCAGATGCTATATATTTGGTTGATGCCATTCAGGGAGGTGAGATACTCATGAAGGCATGCAAGCCTGCACTCGAGTCTACGTACGTCACCAAAGTTATCCATGACTGCAAACGAGATAGTGAGGTCTCTAACTGGTTTTATTTGCTTTTGCATCTCAACCATTCTCACATACATTATGACGCACGGTTCTTGTGCTTGGACATTTGATTTTGTAGGCTTTGTACTTCCAATTTGGCATCAAATTGAATAATGTTGTGGATACTCAGGTGAGCATTTCGTATGAAATTTCAGTCTTATGGTAGGCTTTGTCTTTCGTTTATGCAACTTGATGCAACAATTGATTGAGGAGGCTTACTTAAGTTTATAAAATTATTGGGAATAACAAATTGTTGTGATTTAAGCAGATTGCTTACCACCTTATAGAGGAGCAAGAAGGAAGGAAGCGATTGCCCGATGGTTACATATCTTTTGTCAGCCTTCTTGCAGATCCACGCTATGGTGGTATGGTGCATCTTCTGTTATCGCTCGGGCTCTTACTTTTGGTTGGGGGGCATACTTTTTTGCATGTTCTAGGATCAAGAAAAGTACTCTGGGACAGAACGTTATGGTTTACTCTTGTCTTCCTTCAACTCTTGTGTGGTTAATGATTATCAGAGTGAAGAATGTAGGGAAGAACTACAGTGCTCTTCTTTGATTTTGTTTGTTTGAGGAGTGATCAAGATACTCATCTTGGCTTCTCACATGTCATGTCTATGGGAACTACAATATGAAATGACATCCAAATTGCACATCATGTGGTGTGTTTTAATTTCGTCTTCTCTGGTTTTGATACAGGCATATCTTATCTCGAGAAGGAAGAAGTTCGTATCCTCCTTAGGCAGGTGAGTTGTCGGAATTTGATTAGCTGTGGTCATCGTGTGGAAGCCAATTGTTTTTTGTCTTTGCACTCACTCAACCAAGATTGATATCTGGTTCAGTTTTCGTTCTCATGAGCTGTGATGCAGCAATACTTGACACAAAAATGCTAAATATGCTACAACAAATATCTTTGTTGTTGGAGATTGCTTTGAGCTTTTGCTGCTACCAGTGCATTGCTTTTAGATCAGACCATGCTCAGGAATTCTAGTTCTGATATTAAGGCTATTCAACAACAGTGAGGTCAACGAAAAGATTGTTTTATTTCACCTACAAATGTTGTGGCAATCACAATTTTTACTCTGTAAAAGGGAATTATTAGTTGTTAATTAACTTAGCAGTAGTGTTTACCCTTTCCAAATTCTGCCAAAGAAAATTTTGAATGCTAACTACTATCTCACTAGTGATCTGATCCTCTAGACTCACATACTATCAGCTGAGTTACATTATGGAGTTCTTAAGCAGAAGCCAATCAAGAGATGATAATTTTTTAGTACGGTTCATTAGCTCAGAGTAAATGGCCAGTTAAAAAATAACTCCAGTTTGAACAAATATATTAGTTTACATGTTGGTGATTGTTTCATTTATATGATAGCTCCAGTTGCTCTAACTATGCTCGTGACTACTAATGTGCACCTTTCTAGAGAGCTGCACAATGTGCCCAGTGCAAAATATTCTTTTGCCTTTCACTAATGTGCGTGTTTCATTTACAGGACCCTAAGTTCTGGACATACAGACCACTGTCTGAAATGATGATACGTGCAGCTGCAGATGATGTTCGATTTCTTGTTTACATCTATCGCAAGATGATGGAGAAACTGAATGCACGATCCTTGTGGTATCTGGCAGTTCGCAGTGCTCTTTATTGTCGATGTTTTTGCATCAATGACAATAATTATACTGATTGGCCATCTTTGCCTACAATTCCAGGTTTAAAAATTACAGATAAAAATTTTTGGACTAGCTTTTGTTTATACTGTAATTTTTGGAAACTGCTAGATGCATCGCTTGGGGAACTAGGGCTTGCATTTGTTGACTTTGTCACCCCATCCTTCTAAGTCATTCGCGGGTTTCTGCTGGTATTTAATATGCTCAGAATTAGGATTGAGATGGGGAATTATTCAAAAGATAGAAGGTTCGTGCAACTTTTTTTCCCGTTTTCAAATTGGAGCATACATCAATGACAATTTAGATCGTACAGATGGGTGGAGATTTCCAGTGAATGACTTCCTGAGGTGCTTTTTCAGAGCTCAGCGAAGTTAACTTGGATAGTATAATGGTTGCTTAATGTGACTGGCATAAATCAAAACCGCTATTTTCGGGGCCATTAATGTCTTCTTCAAGTGATGTTGCTTTCTACATTGCATGGTTGCATCAAATTTAAGTTCCAAACTTTTTAAAGGTACAAATGTGCAATATAGAGACGTTACGTTAGCTTAGTGCCATGTCTTTGTTGAGATAAGGTGCCACCTTTTAACTAGGCTTGTAGAAATTGCTTTGCTTGTGGATATGCCATCTTATGATTCACTTTGTAATGCTAATATTTTATTTTTCAACATGAAAATAATCATCAGATTTTGTTGTTAATGACTCGGGATGCATCACTTGCAGGTGGCATAGTATTATAAAAACGACTTAATATGAGAATGTCAAAAGAGTTTTGTACTTTGAATGCTAAAACAAGAGCCTCGACTCGAGGACTAATTTCAGAGTACTTCACGTGTAGATGACATATCAGCAGTGGAAAATGCTCCAGAGGAGGAAATCCTCTCTGTTCTTGATGTTCCACCCGGAAAGATGGGACGTGTTATTGGAAGGAGAGGTGCTTCAATAATGTCTGTTAAGGAATCTTGCAAGTAGATCTCTCTGTCTCTCTCTCTCTCTCTCTCTCTCTCTCTCTCTCTCTCTCTCTCTCTCTCTCTCTGCGCGTGTGCGCTGTCATGACTATCTGTCCTGTTGAAAATACATGTCTGGTTTTCCTTACCGTAGTCTTGCTTTGACAGTGCTGAAATCTTGACTGGAGGTGCCAAAGGTCCACCTGACAAGGTTAGTTACCAATCTGCTGCATATATTCACTGCAATGTAGTTCAATTCGCTTTAGGGAGAAATCCCATTGAAGCTTTTTGGTATGATCTGTTCTGACAACTTCCTCCTTTAATAAAAAGCCTCTTGCTATATATAATTATTGATGCGAGTTTCTCAGGTGGGTTTAATTTCGGTGTAGGTATTCATCATAGGACCAGTAAAGCAGGTGAGGAAGGCAGAAGCCATACTGCGTGGGAGAATGATGGATCTGTAACGAGAGACGGCAGTTGCATCGCTTCTCTCATCCATTGTCTTCACTATTCATGACAATGATGGCTTTAGCGGATATTGGAATTGGCTGTTGAAAAAATTGTGCTTGTTCTCGCTAACTGTACAGTGAAATGCTTCGGTTGCTTTTCTCTCACACCTTCTCAATCAATATGCATACACATTGAATCCAAACTGCGCTTCATTTGGCAGTTGCTCCACAATGAGCTAGCTTGTTAATAGAATTTGCCTTTCTATCCAGTTTTAAATCCTGTTGGCATGTTTATCGCTTCTCGAGGTCGACGCTATGCAACGCTACTCATAGATTCATGACTCAATGCTTAATAATACCGACACTTTCAGCTGTTTAAATGATGGAGGGCTGTTTTCGATCCGATGCCCTATACGTCTAGACTGCCGTCACTTGTTTCTTCTTGCTCGGTTGTCTTCTTGCATCTCTTGTTATGATTACAAAAACCTGATCGACTCTAAAATTTTCCATGGGATTACTACCTCGTCGATCAATGCCATTCTGTGACAGAGTATGGATATATTTATAGCTTGCCATAGTGGCACTTGCGATTTTCCAAACTAAATATACTGAGAGAGAGAGAGAGAGAGAGAGAGAGAATTCTAACTCCGATGTGAAATGTTCAGGCTTATATTCTCGTTTTATTGCAAACCTCTAATTCGCTATCACATTCCTCTACTGGGTTGAAATTGAGCAGAGCAACCATTAAACTCGGACAGTATAGCCGTTCCATAAAACTAATGGCCCACAGAACTCAATAACCATCCAATTCACACAAGTTACCTTACCACAGCATTCATCGACTCTTAATACTTACAATATCATACCAGAAATGCTGTTCGGTGTCCACACAGAAGAAACCCCAAACCGTTTCTCTTGAGACAACATACTTTTGGTGAATACTCTCAAGACAAAAAAATGAGAAATCAAACGAGAAAAGGGAAAGAATGGACGAATTATTTCCTGAAGCTACCATACTGAGATTGGCTAGCAAAGCTTGAGAAGAAGTCATCTCCACTGGTCGCTTGTGATGATGTAAAACCTGACATACCAAGACCAGTCCCTGTACCCATGGCTCTTCCCATGTAAAATGAGGTTGGGGGACCCTTTTCCCTTTCATCCGAACCATCACTTAGCCCACCAACTACACCCACATCTGCAAGTGAAACCTTCTTGGCTGCAAGTTTGTATGAGCAAACAAAACATAGCCACATTAGTAGGCTTGGAGACACTTCCCAACCATAGTGTGAGATTGTGTCATAGTACAATAGGCATAAATTGCAGCGTGCAGTGCGTGCAAAGTGTACGGAGCACAAGAGAGGGGAAACAGCCATTCTACATTCCAAAAAACCAAGTACATCATCATTTGGCTGAGCCAAGAAGGTACAGCAGGAGACATATTCAAAGGAAAAAATGTGTGAGGCTGACCCGAATAATCACAATATGAGAATGAGCCAGATGACTGATTTTGCTAGAAACAATTTAAAGGTGTTCTTGCACCCCCAACAGGACACAATGACTTGAAAGAATTCACAGAACTTCAGCATTTGCATAATTTGTATTCCATGACACATAAACTGCTTCTGTAAACAACCCCTGATAATTCGAAGGGATTGCTAATTAGACCATATACATCCATATCACACATTTATTTTTGTATTTAAGTTGAACGTGTAAGAGTTATAAGAATGAGGCCAGGGAACAACTGCAATGCCACAAGACGAGCTTAGATATACTTACGAGCAGATATATTAAGATCAATCAGTCCACGGCTGAGGGAATCTGCCCAAATTCCAGACTTGACATGGAATGCGTCCTTCTTTGGTTGTGGATTCGAGATAGCTGAAGCCTTCTTACTTGAGTCACTCATGTTGGAATCATCGACGGGGTTTTGGGAAGGTCCTGCTGATGTTGAATCAGAACTGAAAGTGAATGAGCCAAAAGGATCGGAGCTGTCAAAATTGTTCAGTGGAACAGCAGCAAATGGATCCACTATAGGGTTAGTGGGAACAGATTGTATGGGCTTGGTTTCAGGTTGAGTAACCGGAGCTGGCGCAGCAAAGAGGTCAACTGGTGCAGAAACTGCAGAAGAGACAGCAGGTGCAGAAGCAAATAGATCCACCTCAGTCCGCAAAAGAATTCATATAATCAACACATGCGCAAAATCATCGATGTTAGCTTGTGACCGAAAAAAAGAGTAGCTGCCCCTAAGAGATCAAATTCTTCCTTGCAGTGAAAGGATAGCAAGAGTGAGTTACAGAGCCAGTAGTAAGCAGCATCAGATAGTCCACAATTTAAAAACTCAAGATATTTCACCTTCTTCTCAGATGATTCTACTGAAGGAGGTGCCGAAACAAAACTTGCATCAGCGAAAAGGTCAACCTCAGATGAATTTTCATTCAAGGAAGGAGCATCAGTCGGAACAGATATTGGAGCATCCAACAGATCTCCAATCAAGTCCTGCCCAAAAAGATCCACTTGGTTTGCATTTCCAGCACTGGACTCTGCAAAAATTTTAAGCTGACTGTCAGATAGCAAACAGGCTCCAGCAAATTTTCGTTAAAAATCAAACATAAATTTGCTCAAAGGCCTGTCTGATGAGAGGGACATTCACTCATTGAACACTAATATGGGCCAAGGAATAATATCATGCTTGAAGCACAACAATAACAACTTTGAACTATTTCCAGCATCAACAAAACTAGTTTGCAGCTACCCGATAAGAGGATGCTCTCACAACACATGCATTATTTATGAACTTCCGATGATTTTAGGCTGATGATTACAAATCAAGGATCATGCAACTGGCCGCCAACGTCAGATTGTCGTACTCTCAGTCCCACATTAATACCCCCATATTTAGTGAAAAAAGTTTGATTGACAAAATACATTCTTCTGTTGAACTCAGCTCGGCTATTTAAGAAAGGAAAAATAACTTATGAATCATGATCCAACAAACAGTAAAGGAGTAAGGAAGGATGCAGCTAAGAAGCATAGACATTTTCTAGGTAAATAAGCAAATTATGCCTGCCTCGGAGAATCAACAGATAACACGCGAAAACAGAAGGAAACTAAATGAGGAAGAAATAAAACATACTAGATGTGGAGGTCCCTCGAGGATCAAAATCATCAAAATCATCATCATCATCATTGATTGGTGGGGCCTTTGTACTTTGCGAGGGAGTTGGTGATTTTGATGCAATAGATGCCTTAGCATCTTTGCTGCAAGAGAATGTATTCAGAGATATGAATAAATGCCAATACACGACAACATGGAAAAGAAGGCAGGAAAAGCAATGCTAAATGATCTGAGCAGGGAAAAGACTTGGAACGAAATGGATGCAATGACCGTCACACCAAAACCATGTCTTGTTAAATCACCTTTGGTAACAAGTTCCAAATCAACCCACAAATTTTCACACATATGATGTCTGCCCAGATGCCGGTAAGGCCTAAATACTAAAGAAAAACTGGAAGTCGACCAATATATGCAATGCAAGCGCCAATCTTCAGCTAAGAGAAAACCCTAGACAACCGTTAACAACCCTCCCCCCTCCCCTCTTCCCACCAACGGAAACAGAAATAGAAAAAGAAAGGAAAGAAAACGAAAAAAATAAAATAAAAGGACGGACAGAAAGAAGCAGCAGCAATAGAATGATCCACCAGCAACTTATCCTTACAAGAAATTCTATGAGGAAATGTGGATGATCTTCCAGCATATCTGTGAAAATAACTTATGGAGCTCTAACCTGCTAGAGCGAGCAGACCCCATCTTCGACTCACTCCCTTTCTTCTCAGTTTTCCCCCCTTGATCTGCCTTTCTGTAAGAATCCTTTTCCTCTCTATGATCATCTTTATAACTGTCGCTAAACCGGTCACCTTCTCGGGTACTACTTGCACCTTTGTAACGATCACCAGTGTCAAAGCTACTGCTACCAAACGCAGCACCGCCATATTTGCGTGAGATTCCAGTAGACGAGAGTCCAAAGTACCTGTAAGGGTCATTCACATAGTTTATCCACTGAATGTGGTCCATAAATGAATCTCAAAAGCGTAGAAGGAAAAAATGCATTTCGGTGCTTCAAGGAAATCTCACTTGTCCCGGTTTGCTTCAGCTTTATTTCTTACTTCCTGTATTTTATCTTTATTGTTGAGAAGAGCAACAATGTTTTCAGCCTTCTTCCTCACATTTATGCCCATATCCTTCCCACTTGGCTCAACATATTCAAAACTTGAGAGAGACTACACCAAGTAAAGAAGATAGTTAAAATGGATATTAAAAAAAAAACCTTCCCTTCTCCGACCTATGGAAATCACAAGAAGTGTTCTCGATAATATTCATGGTTATACCGAGATTTGGAAGGTATGTTCAATAATGTCGTCAACCGCACGTTCTGAACCATGTGCCACCAAATACTCTATAACAGCCAGTGCCTGAAAAATATTTTTCAGACAGAAGAAAAGAGGGTTACCATACACCAATACTCCATTTGAAATGAGAGAACATCAGTTCAAAAATTGAAGAGGAAAAGAAGATGGAGCTAATGGAAAAAGTGAAGATTCAGCCAACAAAGATGATAATCCTGACTTGAAGTGTTTGACCCATAAGGTATGTAAAACTTTCATGGTAGTGACGATTCTACCTTGTATACATAACGCCAATCCTTTCCAGTCTCGCCCAATCTCGTCCAAAGGACATTCATGACCATTTGACATTCCGTGCTGAAATAGTTGATAAAAAGTAGCTCTTTGAGTTAAATTATAGCAGTTAATAATTACTAGAAAAACAAATAATTTTCTTTAGCCAACCACCAACTATTAAACTATGATAGAAGAGCTTTAAAAAGTGTAAGGCATGAAGAATTACAATTTCTTAGTGGCTTGTGCAATCTCTGCCAATGCAGAACCATGAGGACCCCAGGGTTCGTTGTCCGTAGCATCCAGTACCTTTATCACCAATGCCGATGGAATCATGAGTCAACATATGTATGCATTCACCGACTTGATGTTGTAATGAGCCAATAAATGCTTAATGATGAACAATCAATTCCATCCACCTAAAAAGGTTTATGATGTTGATATAGTGACTTTTTTCTACATTCTAGCAAGTGAACAGGATGTTTGGTGTTTTCACAGCAGAAGAAACTCTAAAGTAACAGGATACCGGGTAAGAAGCCATACTCTTGGCAGAGGACAGAACTAAACTGAACGCACGATGGACAATTAGTTAGATCCTGGCACCTTTCTAATATGCTCTTCATCTAAGCATCTTGTGGATGCTATGGTTAAAAATTAAATGAAATACAATTTGTGGGCCAGGAGCGGCCTCTACAAAGGATGAAGCTCATTGTCGAGAAATTGCCCAAAAGTTGAATCTTGGCCCAAACCCAGAACATTTTGCTGGTTTTTCCACGACCAAAAAAAAAAAAAAAAGCTATCAGCCAGACCATGTAGCATAGTAGGAATTGACTCACTGCTTCTACAGACCTCTCGATGAATTTTTAACTCATGAAACAAGATATCAAGACAGAAGCAAATGAAACAAGGAAGAAAGAAGCTCAACCAACAGCTGCATAAGATGTGATAATGCCATCGGCATTAAAGAAAACAACCGTGCAATACTTGAATATCAATTTTAACAGAGCCATAAACGCCATACAGCATCACTAATTTCACATGCATGCTGCCGAAGGACAAAACTAGTCTGAGCAAATCAGGTACTGCAATGATGCTTAAATCAAAATCTAAAAGCACACAACTTCCAACTCTCAATAGTAAGTAAGCTGTCTGCCAAAGAATGCTAAACCAATTCCAACTGCTGCACTTAATTCAATTTTCCGGAGCATCCGCACATTCCCGTTTCTCCAAGTTGAGGATTAAATCTACCCACAGAGCACCACCGACACCAACATACGCATCCCCAAACACATGAAATCTTAAACATCCGGAAATCCAAGCTCAACCGCCTAGGTCAAATGAAAAGCTAGCAAAATCTTCCGGCTGCGGAAAGCAATCCGCTCCACAAAAGATTACGCCGCGTACCTTCTGTTCGATCTCGGGGACCTTCAAGACCTTCAGATTCACCTCCCTCTTTCTGCTCAAAGAAAGAAGAAAGAAACAGAATCAACCGACGAAATGACGACGGCATTGCACCTAATCCAAGCTTCCGGCGAACGACACGGAATTCGTAATAACCGCAAAAAGAAAAACAAAGAACCGATGAGAATCCGAAGCTCACATTTCTCGAACCGTCTGATCGAAGACCTTCATGAAATCCATGGCGGATCTGCAATCAACCGAAGGAAGAACACGGAGGTCAGTCCAAGCTAGGAGCCTCTCGAATCAATGCGGAGGATTTCGGATGAAGCAAGATCCACGGAAGGGGAAGGAGAAGAAGAAAAAGAGAGAAGCAGATTTGAGTTACGGAGGAGAAAACCACGGAGCTTCAGATGCAGATCTCCTCCGGTTCGGCGGTGATGAAGGAGACGATCCGACGGAAGGTTTTTTTTTTTTTTTTTTGGGTTTGTGGTGGCCTGGTGTTCACAAGCGGAGCGAAGCATCTGGTGATGACGGTGATGATTAAATGTCTTCCACTTCTTCTTTTTTCTTTTTTTAATAAGCGCACCGAAAAAGTCTAGAAATTTAAAATTAATGTCGTTAAAGATATCAAACTGATATCATCTCAGACCAATTCTTATCTAAAATAATCTCATATTGATAGTTTACGGCACATTTATCTCAAATTAATTTTTAAAGTGTGGAAAATTTAAAACTCCGTGTCTCTGAACTAAATTTTCCCTCCTTCAGAAGTTTGAGATCCAGCGTAACTGATGATTCGGATTGAGGTTTTTGGAAATTTTCATGGAACGAAAATTAGATTGATAATTAATTAATTATTATTTGTAAGAGGAAAATTAAATCAATTAAATGTGCCATGAAGTACCAAATTATGATTTTCAATGATATTGACCCGAAAATTTAACGAGTTTTCAGTGAAGTTATAAAGGTTTCGGATAGTGCAATCAAAACATAATATTTGTCTATGACCAAAAAAAAACTCAATATTTGTACATTTGATAAAAATCCCCAAAAAATAAATATCCTTAATTTTTTTTATCATGAAAAAACACAAACTTATACATTTGTGTCATATAATTATGTATTTCAATGTCATGCATGGTATATTGTATGAGTTCAAGTTTTTTACGACACAAAAAAAATTTTGGGTGCTATAATAGATAAGTTTAAAATTTTTAGTGACACAAAAAAAAGTTTGAAATATTTTATCACAATAAATATAGTTTAAGATTTTTTGTATTATTAGACCCAATAGATATCTTTATGATCAAGTCAAAGGAATATTACGTCACAAGAAATATCGGTCCTCGAGAGTTGTGCCAAGTACAAACTCAGGATATCGTATTTTTTTTATATGCATATACTCTCCTAGTGAGTTTCGGGTAATTATATTCAATTTTTTTTTTGAATAATTATAATTTTTTTCTTAATAGGACTTGGCATCAGGTCAAGCCTGAGTACTTGCCCGCGCATGAGATTTTCCCATGCCGACTCACGTGCTTGACCCTGGCAAGGTTGGCTCGAACCTAGTTGTTTTAAAAAAAACCTTTGGTAAAAAAAGTTTGTGTTCGACTATTAAAAATGATGGAAAATTAATTGAGGAAGATTAATGAAAAATACTCATTCAAATAAACCAAACTGTTATATAAGTACATATAAGTACATACTTCCAATAATTTGGAAAAGAAAATTACACTTAGCGGTGCTCTAATAATGATTACACACAGACCACCGTATCTCTGACCATATGATAGCTATTTGTAAAATATTTGTCGTAGACCTATCATATCACAAAATCTATTATCTAGTACTGAACAGGGACACGTAAGGTATCATGGATGGCGACAAGTGAGTAAGTTACAAGCTATGGTGGAGAGAATTGGCAAAGTGATGACTTGCCCCTTCCATCGTTTTAGAACGTCAACGTTATCTTTATGAACTCTATCAATGTTTTTGGAGCAGTATGTTCCCAAGTACAACTCTAGCTTATCAATAGATCGAGATAATGACCTAACAAAAGGCCGTGGGGGTGTTGATCTTCTTACAAACCAAAGACCACACAGGTTTCTAGACTCTATTTAATGGGGACGCTTTCTCTGTCTGTAGCATGGAATTCAATGTATCTAATCGACTGACTTATGCAGGCTATGCAGTATACACATTCCAAAACCAACTCATCTTGCCATCTCCATTATGAATGTGCTCAAAGTATTTGACATATTGCTGAAAACCTGCAAGAAGCCCCTAAAAATTTCAGCAACCCTCAATCTAATTGTATTAACAGCAAGAGATGGGCAACTTTCATTTTGAGTGGTGGACTAGAGTGTCAACACACCCATCGCCTTACATGTCTTCTTCGACATTTGTACATTAATTTTTACCTTATTCTTATGCCCAAAGGGAATTTTAATCTGCCTTCCTATGTCATGTGCCTGACCTCTAGCTATTCAATAGTGTCGGGGGAAGGTTTACTTATTTGTCCTACAATTCCTCCCAATCATTTGGTCACCGTGCCTCGCCGTCATTAAATTTAGCTAGTTGCCTTGACAGAGCTAGCACATATACATTGTTATCACGATACTCATTGAACGAGTTCCATGAAGATTGCATGGTGAAGTCCGGATTGTGCTAGGATGATCAGACACGATATAGAACACGATTAAGTCTTCGTAAGCATAAACGAAATAAATGAAATCGACAAGCGATTTTAGAGAGCAAGAGCGTTTGGAAGTGGTATGCAGTGAAAGATCGGAAAATGGTAAAAATATGAGTTAACCCTGGGCCCTATTGGATTCGGCCTATCACAAAAAGACCCAAGGGGCTTGGGCCCATGGGTCTGACTTGTTCCAGGCCCAAAACAGGGCACAGCCCGTTACCCAGTCCTAAACGTACCCAATTGATTTTATTTAAAAAAAATGACATAAAAGACCTCTGAATTTTAATTAAATATGTAATATTATCCCTGAACTTTTAATTTACTCAGTATAGTCGCTGAACTATTGATTTGTTTAATGTAATCCTTAAAATTTTAGTATATAGTCAATTTAGTTTTTATATTAAACGAAAAATGTTCAATATTATTCTTGATCTCGTTTTTATAAAAGGGTAAGATTGAACTTTTTTATATAGTTCATGGATTTTATTAAATAAATTAAAAGTTTAAGGATCACGTTACATATTGAGTTAAAGTTCGAAGATCACATTGAATAAATTAAAAATTCATAAATCATATTACACACTGAATCAAAATTTAAATGCCATTTGTGTCATTATCCCATTCTATTTCTCAATATATACATATAATAAAATAATTTTGCCCCTGTATTTTCCTCGTGCTGGCTCACCACCGTGCCAAGAATATCTAACCTCTCCGACTTCCCACGTATATATAATCACTTAAGCCCACCGTTTTGCAGCCGCATCCCCTCTCTCTCTCTCTCTCTCTCTCAGACGGAAGCAGCGAAGTGTTTTCGTCTTCATCCCCGATCGAGCACAAAAATGGCGGAGGAAGAGGTTCTGGTGCTCGAGCCGGCGGCCTCGCCGCCGCCAGATCACAAGCGGAAGCTCGACGATTGGGAAGCCGAGGAGGCTCCGGAACCCGTCGGAGAAGCCGATTCCGACTACAATGTCCACGTCTCGGCTTCTGATTCGCTGGATGCGAAGCGTCCTCGTCTCGACGAGAAGCCTGAGGTTCCAGGTAATTCGGTCCCTCTGTGGTTTTTTCACCTACGGCTACTGGCGATGGTAATGTTTCGTAGCTGATAAGCTGGATAGCTGATTTTAGGCGGAGATTAGGTTGAGCTTCAACGTATGGGTAGCTGCGGATATTGGTTGTAAAGATGCAGAAGTAGGAGGAATGATTGTGCTATTGAGTAACTTCGGTGTTTGTTTGTTTGTTTGGATTTGGGCGTTCATTTCGTGCCTCTAATTCACGAAATGTGGTTGACATTTCGTCTTGCTGTGCAAATTCAGTAGTCATGTTAAGGGACTCCCTCATAAACTCGTCGCATGTCTTCTCTTTTCGGCAACAGCTCATGGAAATGGATACCAAGACGACCAGCGAGACGACCCTGTCGAGGAAGGAAATAAGGGAACCGCTGCGAATAATAGCGAGGTCGAAGAATCTCAGGAAGAGCCCAATGAAAGTGGAGAAGCTGCCGATGATGAAAAGGCATCTTCTGAAAACCACGAGGCCAAAGATGTCAATACAGAGTCTCAGGACAATTCGCAAGAAACTTTGAAGGAGGAAGCGGTGCCTTCTGCGGATGTTATCCAACAAGATGTGTCCGTGCAGCAGCTGCAAGTGTCCGATGATGGTCACACTTTGACTCGCAAAATTGAGGTCCCAAATAATAAGGTGAATTTGCGGAGCTATTTGTGTAAATTGTCGGTCGAAGTACATGGAATTCCTGTTTTGCTCTTTTATAGGGCATAATTAGTTTTAACGATATTGAATTATATTCGTCTTTGTAAATTTATTATGCTCTCACAGAGTCAATATCAGAGGTATGTACGTCCGAAGTTGGAAACTTTAACATCAATTGTACTTGCCTTCCCTGTTTCTTAATTTTGGATGAAGAGCACACAAGTTGAACTTTTCTCAGTGAGCAAGAGGTGGCATGTCTTAGCGAGTCTGCTTGATCTCTACGACATACGACATGTTTTTATTACAAGTATGACAAGCGAAATTGTAAGCTTCCAATGTTAACTATTAATTATCAGCTTCAAAACAGAATAGCCATGTGGGAACTTCCCATGCATATATCATTTGCTTCTTTGCTTCATGGAGTCATGTTGATCCTTCCAGTCGAGATTGTGTCATGGTGGGTTGACTTTATAGGCATCAGTTATTATACCCTTATTTATATAGTTTTGCTCTTCTCTTTGTCGTATGGCGTTCAGTACAGTCATCTTCGGCTAGAGTTGTAAGAAGGGATGTTTAAGGGGTAACTAACATGTCAGTGCCTGATGTTAAGTAGTCTTCAAGAGGTAATATCACTTGGATAAGTAATATGGTTTTGGAAGAATGAGATATACTTTTTCAGTCCCTTTCCAGTATTAACTGGATGGAATTCATGTTTAAGCTATGTATAATGAATCTGCTGTAGTTATTGTACTTCATTACCAAATCTTCTCTTCTTTGGAGTTCTACCAAGTTTTTGGTTTTGAGCAAAAGGTGAGATCACACATGTTTGGCATCATGCATGCAGGTTGGTGTTCTTATTGGTAAGGCTGGAGAGACCATACGGTATTTGCAGTACAATTCAGGGGCGAAAATCCAGATTGTCAGAGATTCTGAGGCTGATATGTCTTCTACAACTAGGCCTGTGGAGCTAACGGGATCTTTGGATAGTATTAACAAGGCTGAGAGGCTTATAAAGGATGTCATAGCAGAGGTTCGTGTTGATGCTGTTGGTGCATTTTCTTCCTTCTCTCCTCCTTTTTTCCTCTGCTTTCACATTTCCGATAGTGAAACTGGAGCAGCAATATGTTGCCCTGCTTTAGTTACATTCTTAAAAAGCGGGAGGTGCACATAAAATGCTGGGTACCAAGATCTACAGAGGATGCAAAAAATTATGAAACAAGGGAACTTCTGTTGTCTGGCAGGGTGAAAAAGCGTAGTTGACTTGCTTCCTCTGATTAACTATAGCGTTTTCTGCACAAGTTGTTTGCTTATGCTGATTCTGTATGTTATTTATGATTGAATATATCTTCCCTTGAATGTCGAAACTAATTTGCTTCTTTCATCCGATATATGTGGTTGTAGGCGGATGCCGGTGGTTCCCCTTCTCTTGTCGCTAGAGGCATAGCCACCACATATGCCACAGGGCCTGCAGAACAGATTGAAATAAAAGTTCCAAATGAGAAGGTGTTGCCATATAACTACTGATGATTTGTTGGGCGTAATATGTTCAGACAAGCAAACACACATCTTTTCATGAATTATATGAACTGATTCTCATAGACATTAACTTCTGTGTATGTCTTCTGTGGTATTTCTTTGTTCAGGTAGGTTTAGTTATAGGCAGAGGTGGAGATACCATCAAAGGTCTACAAACGAGATCAGGAGCCCGTATCCAGGTACTTGATGTCATATGTCTTGTCTTTTGGTGTCCAGATATGCATCTAAATCATGGACATCAATAGGTACTTTAATAAGTGTTATGCGTCAAAATCTCCAAATTTATTTATTTCTTTCTTGTAGTTAATACCTCAACATCTTCCTGAGGGTGATGAATCCAAGGAAAGGATTGTCAGGGTGAGTGGTGATAGGAGGCAGATTGATGTTGCCACAGAGATGATAAGAGAAGTTATGAAACAGGTCTGCTAGTTTTCCTTGTTTCTTTGCCAAAACAAATGGCATTGTTTTAATGCAGTTGCATTTTTTTCAATTCCCCATTTGTGATTACTTCTGCTTGCATACCTTCTGATTCTTCTTTATGCAAAGAGAGCCCTTATAATATTGATAAATTGACCATTGGCTTCTATGTGGAGAAAAATATTATTGCTCCTTTATCGTTATTGTTTCATGTTAAACCCCTTTTGTTTATTCATTGGAATCATAGCCTCATAGGTACTTTTAGGGGCCTTTTGGGTGTTTTCACTGTGGATATTTGCGTTTAGCTTATCATGTGCTGTTAGCTCCGAGATTTACGAATGAATGTTGGCCTGACATGACAATTTCCCCCTTTTCATTTTTGCCACAGTAGATTGTTCTAGAAGTGGTACTAAGGAGGCTGTTCTTCATCAATTTTGCCTATCTGCTTGGGAATGCAGAGAACATTGCAGTCATAATAAGCTTCAGATGTTTTGATGTGTGCGAAAATTAACAGAGTGAGGATGACATCTTTTTCTGTCGATATCAAAAGTGTCTGTGGATCAAAATGTAGGTCAATATTGTTAGTTGATGTATCATGTATGTTCACAGGGCAGAAACCATACTTTTGGTAGAGTTAGTATGAAGAGTTGGTCTTAGATATATATATATATATTAACATTATTCCCCTTTTCATAAACTCTAGTTGCATGTTCGATAATCTTTCTGGATTTTGAGATGTCATCGAGAGTAAATACGGACCGAGAATGCAATTATCAGAGTTGTCATAAATAATGATCCATGCCAAGGTCAAGTCAATTCATTTAGGAAGATCATACATTCCATCGAAGATGTCAGTTGCCACTTGCCATCATTTTTCTATCTTGAAAGTGCCGATTTCGAATTGGTTGGCTTATAAAATGCAGATTTGGCAATTGCCTCTCCCGTGGTGTTCGCATTGCTTTCTTGGTGTAGCAATAGACAACCACACTATTCTCTCATCCACATGAAGAGAGGTATCAGGCATTAATTCTACGGATGGCGAATGTTTATGGTTGGTAAGATTGCTTTGAGACTCGAGTAAAGATCATGTCGTAAGCCTACGTTGTATTAACCTTAGCGACCGCTAGTGACTCCCATGTTCTGTATGTGAGGCGTAAGCCGTCATGTCCATATAAACTCGCATCATTTAAATTATTGTGGGGTCCATTCTATGCTTTATAACCTGTTTTTAGTGGCTACTGCAACAGTTGTAGGATGCTTCATTGCAATTTAGAGGCCTCTATTGCTATGTCAGAAGGGTTTGCTTTATACCTTGTATAGAAACCTTGCTTAATGGTTGCCTGGGGTCTATGACATATAGTGGCTCTGAAGTGGCAAGCGCTGTTGTCTGGATGTCTAGAAGTATCGTCATCTGAGTCATGTACATAAATGCTTACTGCCAGGCGTTCTGCTTGATGATAGTTTGAGTCATTAATGCTTGATAACTCTTTTCTTTTGACCTTTCTATAACTCATTGGTTGAAAAAGCCATTGTGGTTCATAAATGAATTTCCTTGTATGTGGTTTTTGTTGTTTATGGGGGCGGTTTTCTTGATGGTGGGAATGCGTTTTGCATCCTGCATTTGTGAATAAGGCTTTAGGAAGTTATCATTTTTGCTTGGTCGCATAAGAGCTTTTGAAGCATTTGCTAAAGAAATTACCTGTATTGCTGAATATTTGTGTTTATCTATTATTGTGTCATGTTAGAAGACTCTTATTTAAAATTTTGTTATAAATTGACTTGAAAATGTCTCCATGATGAGGATAATACTTGCATATGTGAAGGTGTCTTCCATGTTTCTAAGTTTCCCTTTGACATTTATGCTTACAAATTTAGAACAAACGTCTGAACGTCACTGATTTGATGAGATGCGCCTTATTTTTAAAAGTAGAATTATTTCCCTCTCACTTTTGCCTTATCTTGGCATGGCCTTTTGCAACTTTCCTGGTCTAGTCCGGGTGTCATATTCCCGTTCCACCGGGCTGAGACATTTTATCTCCATTTTCATGCATATGGATGTTTTTTCCCCCCAGTCAATATGAATATTGAAGCTATCTATGCTGATTCGATGCGGACTATCACGTGGTCTCTATATTTGTATGAGCTTTATTTTGTCAACCACTTCATGGAGTAGGTCTTCATATTGCTTTGTGTTGAATGGCTTGCTTATGCTTTTCCAATTTACCGATCTTGCTCGTGTTATCTTGTGGCCTATTTTAAGCTTCGACTTCTGTAGATTTTTTTCCTGGTATCTTCATACATGGCTATTAAGTATCTGATTTTCTTATGGGACTGCACTCATTATATACTTTTTGTTGGCCAGACTCCTCGGCCATCACCACTATCCGGTGGGTTTAGTCAGAATGCTTATCGGTCGCGTGGGCCAAGTGCTTCCTCATGGGGTCCACGTGCTTCTCATCCTGGTCACATGATGTCATATGATTATCAGCAGCGTGGACCACATACATCTCAGAATGTCCAATACCCCCCTCCATCTTACGGTGGTTATCACCCACAAAGAAGTGGTTTTAGTTCTGGTTGGGAGCAGAGGCCTTCCAGCATGCAGGGCCCACCTCACAGTGGGAGCTATGATTATTATGGTGGACATGGAGGAAATCAAGCAGGTATTCCTCATTCAGGACCCATTGCTGGTCAATCCGGTGGCCATGGCGTAGGCCCACCACAGTCGCAAGCAAGTTACAACTATGGACAACCACAAGGTCCAAATTATGGGCACCCGGGTCCTTACCCTCAAGTTGGAAACCCTCAGCAGAGTTACGCACATGGATACAATGAAACCGGGTATAATAACCCTCCAGTGCAGCATTCGTATGGAGGACAAAGCTCTCAGCCAGTTTACCCTCAAGCTGCTGCCGTGCAACCTGGTTATGCACAACAATACGGTCCTGGAGGGCATCCTCAGTCTTATGGCACTCCAGGAGCTAGTCAACCTGGCAATACACCTTATCCAGGGTCCAATCAGTCCACACAACTGTACAGTTCGAGCATGCCATCCCAACAAACATATGCATATCCAGCAAGCGGGCCCATGCAGCAAACGTACCAGGCGTATGGGTCTGCACCGGCCAGTGATGGATTTAATCAGCCATTACCTGCATCTGGTGCTGTGTATCCACAGCAAGGACAACCTACTCCTGGCTATGGTCAACCTGCTGCAGCTGGAGGTTATGGATCATATCCTGAACAGCCAGCGACAGCCAATGCAAGCTATGGTTATCAAGTGCCACAAGATGCTGCTTTAGGTGGGGGTCCAGGGGGTGTGTATGCTGCACCTGCTAGCAGTCAGACTCAGCCAGGGTATGCTCAACAGCCGACCACCCAACCAGGCTATGACCAATCACTTGCACAGTCTGGCAGTTATGGTAGTGTAGCTGCAAATGCCCAAGCTGGTTATGGGAAGACTCTATCACCTCAGCCTGGCTATCCTCAGTATGATTCGGCACAGGTGTATGGAGCACGCTGATACTTCTGTTTGACTGTATGTGATATCTAGTTTTAGCATTAGCTTAGCTGTCTAGGTCATTCTGGCTTTCTGAACAGACTGCTTTAAGATTTTCTCTAGAATCTTATGAAATTTTCTCTTGGTTACTCTAATTAGTAAATGTTGCACTGCAACTTCTTTTGCTTCCAGGATCTGCCCTGTCCATTAACTGATATTGGTTTGTAAGGTTATGGAGACTTCTTTCTTAGTTTAATCAATTTAGTTGGCTGAATGAACAATTATTCTCGGAATTAATCTCACTCTTTCTACTTCAAGGAGCTGATGCTACCGTTCTATGTATCAAAGACTGATTAGGTGGACATAGCAACATGAATTAGCGCAGATGTATTCTGTTGGCATGACTGAAGTCCACTCAAGATTATTGTAGCCAGGCCTATAGTTGCATTATCTTCTGACTACTCTGATAAAAACAAGAAGAATGCGAGACGTAGATCCTTCAGTGTATGTTGCTTGAGGTGTTCTTGTTGTGACAGATAGCTAAAGTTATCGTGTATGAGTTGTTTCATACAGTTTTAGTGGGTAAGTTGCATTCGTAGCCACTGCCTTGTTACTCTTGCAACTTTGTCAGTAAATCTTGGTCTGTTTTGTTAGCTTGAAGATTAAATGTCTTTGTTACAATCAAGTCATTTGTCACCCTGCCGTCAAATGGCGCCTTATTTGGGGTCATGGCGGCACGGATGTGATGTCCATGCGGCATTCAAAAGTTTAAAAGAAAAAGAAAATCTGACGGTAACTTCCCATGGCAGCAACCAAATTGAGCTTAAACCAGATCATAAGCAACTAGATCGAGGCAAGAACTGGTAGTTGAAGAACTCACAATCTGCCATGGATGGTGAGTATTGACGGTACTTATGGTCTCCAATCATCTGCTTTCCCTATGTAACATCTCATTTTTCAACATGATCAATATGGGTACTTGCTGTGGTTTACCTTTCATGGATCCATTTCTTCTCAAAATTATGGTGTTTTAGGGGTGATCTATTCAGGAGTTCTTTTACGGTAATGGCTTTACATTTCGAAATGACTTTATTATATTTCCTGCTACCATCAAAGCCATCTCATTCACATCAATACAGATGCTTATACCTTAGGTGATTGCATCATGCCTTAGGGTGCTATATCTGCCATCCCTTCTATATCTTCAGCTCTGTGCAAGAGGAAACATCAGGGTGGGAGAAACCACCGACAGTGATAACATCATTCTAGTGCAAATTTTGAAACCTCAATCTGGAGAACTATCCCAGGGCAAATAGAAGCTACAATGTATGTCATATGGACATTTTTGGAGTTTTGTTATTTGTAAGGTCTAGAGTTGACGATTGGCACGTTTCAAGATTTTTCAAGTTGTGTGGAATTGATAGGTGTCTGAGATGTCAACAATAGTCACTTTTATGGTTCTAGTTGCAAAAGAGAATGTAGTGTTCAAAGACTTTGATCGGGTCTAGATCTGATTTATTATACCTCTGTAGAAGCATGGTTTTCACTGAAGTTTTTGCATGCTATCATCCTGATGATAGTGTCTGCCTTCAATTGCGTGGAAACTGCAACAAACTTGTTCCGTCTGGTTAGAGCAAGAGGCTTGGTCTAATTCGTGAGAGCTTACTGAGTTATATGAGAAGTTTTTCTCTGGTCATTTTAAGTTCTCTCCTTTCTTTTCTTAAATTCGGTGTGGGTGCAAGTTATTCGTTTTGATTGTTGAAACTACACCAAACTTGTTTCTGACTAGTCCGTATGAATGTCAAATGATGTTGTGACGTTTTGTTTTGTCAAAGGATCGAAAGTTGTATCAAAAGAGCTAGCTTCTGCGATGGCAAAGACATATGGCCCCACTCTGTTCGACAGCAACTATTTCGTGCATGAAGCAGCTGCTCGAGAACCGAAGTATCGATGCAACTGGGGAGGTAAGAGACAGAAGTATCGAATTTGCATCGATCCATCACCTTCTATGCATTGACGATTGGATAAATATCCCCATTGCCGAAGGCTTTAATCACCTATTAGCCAAGCTTTTCTTTTTCTTTTCGTGCATATGTACATTATTAGCAAGACATTGTCGCGATTACGCAACTGCATTAGAGTCAAAATACTGGGGCTTCTTTCCATCTCCTTTTTCGGTAGATTGATTAGATTGTCTCTGGGTTTGCTTTAGTGTACGTCGACCGGTCCATCTTCTTGAAGGGTGCACTCCTCCACGTAGGTTTGATGTATTTGGTTCCGATAAAAAGGGTTTGTTCTGGAGAGGAATGAAAGGGCACGCATCTTCTTCAATGAAAGTGAGCCGCCGTTTAGAGAAGTCCTCTACAGAGCCGCGAGAACAAAGAAAACAGAATGCACAAACGTTCTCAAGGCTCGGTGAGTTTATTTGGTCCAATTAAGTTATTTATTTATAAACACTTTGAATTTAGGCTTAAATTTAGGTGTGAAAAAGACTCTAGCATATAAGCGAATTGTAACTCTGATTTTCCGATTATAGTGGATTATTTGTTGCTGGCTCTCCCCGTGAATGTAGGTACCGATATTCGGACCGAACCACATAAATCTCTGGTGTCATTTATCAGTCCTCGTTTACAATATGAGTGTTAAATAAGTTTATAACTTACTTAAACCCAACTCATTTCTACGACTTTCTCTTCATTCTCTCTCGCTTTCACTCGATCTCGCGCTTATTCATTATGCACTTTCACCTCAGTTTGAGTATAAGTTCTTTCACATTTGATTAAACATGAACATGTTTTAATAATATGGATCGGGTTGAGTTAGGTACGGGTCAAAACGGGTTAAATAGGTCTATTTTGATCGGATTATTTTTTACCCGATCTAAACTCCACCTGTTTGACAGGTTCAGAACGGAAGGACCAATAGTGAACATTTCAAAAAACTAGGAGGCCGGTTTTGGAAAAAGATAAACAAAAGTAGGAGAATGGTTACTAACTTCGGACGAAAGTAGAGGTGTCGTGTTGACCTGAGCTAACTTGCCAGCGGGAAATGCTCAGACAGCGCGATTACTATAAGCGAGTTGTTTTGAACGGTTCAACTCCAAAGGCAAAATAGACATTGGCTACCGGCACTAAATTAATCACAAAGGGCAAAATCTTTTTAAAAAAAAAACAGCAATGGGCACATCACCTTCTTAAATGATAAGATTCTTAGGGGGCAAGAAAACAACGCAGGGACCACCTTGGTTTGAAAAATAGGGAATACAATCGAGTCATGCCTTATGTCAATTTATTTTGTCCTTCCGACCCTTACTATTTTCCCAAATAATAATTGCAGCCCTTTATTTTATTTTTATTTTTTAAATAAGGATAAATGCATTGAAAGTTCTAAAACTTGTCACGATAGTGCCATTAAGTGCTGAAACTTTCAAAAAGTGTAACTAAGTCCCAGAACTCGCCACAAAATGCGATTGAGTTCTAAAACTTTCAAAAAAATGTAATTAAGTCTTACAACTTGTCAAATCGGTTCAATCAAGTCTTTCCGTTGATTACATTTTTTTGAAATTTTTAGGACTCGATTGCACTTACATGATAAGTTTTAGGACTTGATTGTACTTTTTGAAAATTTTAGGACTCAATTGCACTTTTGTGACAAGTTTTAGGACTTCCAGCGCTTTTATCCCAGAAAAAAATAATTAATCAAGAAGATCATTAATTTACGAATAGTTGCGTTCAAAGTCTTCTCTAAGGAACGACAATCCATGCAGCGACTTTGTACCGGCTCAATTATATGAGGACGGTCACTCACACTCCCAAGAATATTACTATATGTCGTGGGTCGCTGGACGAGATTAATGTCGGTGCGCACTGTTCTTCGGAATCTTTATTCTTTTTTTCTCATTCAGACCCATGATTTTCTTTTATAATTCGTCGGTCAGAAGTTGAGCGATATTAACATAAATCTGTAATGTTCGATCGTGCTCTTCCGTAAATTACAGAGAATGTTCCCACCGGGTGCCCCTAGAGTTGGTTTTTAAAAACGTGTGGGGACTAATGTCGTTTAGCTCGTGGCTCATTAGAAGGATGAGCACCAAACGACCTGCCGGATCTCAAGGGTCAATTAGGGAAAATGAGGTCATTATGTGGATTTTTTTTTTTCCCAAATCGGGCTTCTTTAGAGTATATGGTTTTCACCGATAGGCATGCGGTCCTGCAAGTAAATGGATTGGAGAGTGGGGACGCTAGCATCACAAGTGGAGTAAATTGAAAATGCAACTAAGTGCTAAAACTTTCAAAAAGCGCAATCAAAGTCCTAAAATTTATCAAATTGGTCAAATCAAGTCCTTAGAGCATGCACGTTCGGTGTAAAAGTAATTCTACAGAAAAGGCCTCATCCATCTTTGATATTCAGAATTGTAGTCATCCAATCTCGATTCAATAGTACGTGAGGCTGCTTGTGTAATTCTTTTTACTATGTATACTAAGAAAGCAATTTCTGTCATCCCCTACATGAGCTTGGCAGCTTCCTATGTTTGATTTACATGGTGGCTTTACAACTTTGGCCTTAAAGACACATTTAAGAGGGAATATTCACAGGCATGTAATGCCACCAAGAACTGAGCGATGACACAGGAACCAAATCGTGGGTCGTATCTGGACGTCTCTGTCATTTAAGAACCTCAAGCCCCAACCCACCCTTCGCTTTTGACCTTTTGAGCGTTCCTTTTCGAAAGCTAGCGAATGACAATGGTCAAGGGGGCCTTTGCAACATGCACTGCTTGACCCCCAAATGGCGGGTGAACATGAAATTCTGGTCCCTGAGGACGTTTCTAAGCTGAGTGCAAGGTTGAAGAAGCAATAAAATGTGTCCTGAAAGCGAGTGTGCAGCCGATTTGGCCAAGAATAGCTTGATTACTACGACGCTCTTCTTCCCGTGAAAGTTTGTCTGCTGAAATCTGGGTGAGGATAGAAGAGTGACCGGAACCCATCACATACATGAAGAAAGAGTCAAGAAGAGGATGAGTTGCAGATGCACAGTACACAGTACGAGCTGGTTCACATGCTTGGACAAATAAAAGCAACATCATGCTCGAGGTTCACGAGATCATGATCTTCAACTATGCTTGCTAAGTTTGTTCCTTTCTGCATCTGTCCCGGATGTTACATCCGCCTTAAACTATCTGTCTCCGTAGAGTCACGAATAATGCAGATACAATTATCATTGCCTAAACTCGTTCGACTGCACCAAGCTAATTATATTTGGAAAATGGTTGAACCTGTGAGTCGGCGTGAATGGTTTTGTCGAGCATTCTTCCATAAGCTAAGTCTGCACAATACGAATATGCCGGGACGGTTTATCTTTTTCCTATGTACAAGAGAAATCTCCGTTAGAGAATCTTTTGTGGTTAATGTTTGAAAGAGGGCATTGAATTGGTCGTGAGGTGCCTCTCTTTCATGCAACTTTTGTGAACGTTGACAGGCCAGAGACGAGCAGACACGCTGATGCAATCCTCTTCACATTCCTTGTCAAACGTCCTTATTTCACAACAAAGTGATACAGGACCAAATCTTCCCTGCCCCACTCCGTCAGATTCCCAAGTGAAACCTCTTAACGGACACTCAGACACACATGAAAAGGTTGTGTTGCGAGTAGTGATGCACATGTCAATGACACAATTTGATGTGAGTCTATACGTGCACCGAACGCACAGGTGGAACATTCGCATGCAAAGCAAGCAATTAGTAGTTGAGAAAGCACATATGCTTAGTGTGTACATACAGGAGATTTGTCGAGTCGATACGTCAAGGCTCGAATTTCATTACTAAGAGACATTCATATGCAAACCTATGCAAAGGCGACTTGACATTAGTGAGATGGTTTCTGATCAACGCTCCGTAATACAATTGAATCTATCATAAGTCCTCTATGCCAACGTACCCTTTTTCTCTCTTTTGAATTCACAGGACTGAGCCCAAGCCCATCTCTACCTATAATCAATTTGTACATGACGTGTTTCGACTTCAAGACGAGCATATGTTCATATAGCAGTTAAAGGTGTAAATTAATTGGTCTAGGAGCATGCAGAAAAGAAAATTCCTAGAAGTTTCCTGTATTCCTGTGCCCATTGAATCCTCCATTGTTTCTTTCAGTCATTTCAATATTGAGCTATACTGCAGTACTGCAATATGGTCTTGCTTCAGCATATATAGTTTAAATCAGAACTCGGAACATAGTTGCCACAGTTGAGAGAGTTCTCCTGAAACCAGAGGCCACTGTTGTCACTGAGGAATCCAAACCCGAAATCCATCATTGCAGTGGCCTCATCGAGTGTTCCTCTGTTGCAAGTGAGCAGTGAAGCCTTGTCGTCCATTGCCAAAGACGACGATGAACTCGAGATGCTGGATGAATTAGAAATGCTTGAAGTCGATACCTTTGAACTCATGTCGATTTCATTAGACTTTATGTGATTGAAGCCTGTGTAAGGATAATAAGGCGAATTGTGAACATTCGCAGTAGTTGCTCCATCATATATAACCTGGCATTCGGCAGCTGTGAAAGTCTCGATCTCCGAAACTGAAAATCCACGGTGGTACACGTCGAGATTTGGCAAACCAGAAGGATGGTTGCTTGCGAACCCAAGGAGAGCAGGGGTGTTAAAAGTGGACATTGTGTTGTTGCTGCCGTTATTAGCCCCCTTAACTTTTCCGGCAAGTCTTTTCTTCTTCAACTTGGTGTTCCAGTAGTTCTTGACGTCGTTGTCTGTTCTTCCGGGCAATTGAGATGCTATGATGGACCACCTATTAAAACAAAAAAAATGTATGTTAATATAATATATATGAATAGTTGCAAGTGAAAACAAAAACAGTGACGAAATTGTAGTGCAACTCTTGTTATTTTGTGTACATACTCTTTGCTTTAAAACCAGGACTATGATGTCTTCTAATGTGTTTATTACTTAACAAAAAGGCGAATCCCATTTCCCGCTCCAAAAGTAGAGATGTTCTGCACTCAATAGCTCCAATTTGATCCTTCAGAGCATTCTTACATGAATTTGACTGTAACTAAGAGAGTGAAACGAGTATCGATTCACTTGAACTTGCAAATAGAGGATGGTATGTTTCTGGAGCGAGGAACTACCAATCATAATTCAACACAAACAGGGAAAAATTAAGCTGAGAAATTGCCTGCTTCCTATTTCATTGTAGAGATTGCATATGATATTATCTTCATCTTCAGTAAAACCACCATGCTTGATATCTGGTCTCAGATAATTGAGCCACCGTAAGCGGCAACTCTTCCCGCACCGTCTAAGGCCTGCAATAGGTAGAGCACACCATTACAATAGATGAGCCAAGGAGTGAGAACGTATAACAATCTGAAATTTCAGCTGGAAAGAAAATAGCTTGAATGGTAACTATGAAGCAAAAAACAAAAAGAAAAATACTGGAAACAATACTTGGAAGTGAAGGAAAGGAAGCTTGTGCAAGAAGTAGCAGCGAAGAAGAGAAACAATAGCTTCCACAGGCTAAAAAGTTTGAACTTTTAATGGAACAGTTTGGCTCAGAACTCCTAAGAGCTTCAAATTTTCTTATAGATTCTTAGTTGTGTTTGCACTCATGCTTATTGATGCACATGAATATCCTAAACCGTTGTTATATGCTCGTTTCTTGGGATCTGAAGGCTCTCTCGATGCAAGTCCAGTGCACAAAGGCCAAGTCTAAGTGGTAACCAAAATGGGTGTCAAAGGGAAGATAGACCTGCTTTCTTGGGCAAAGCAATCCAATTTCCACCAGTGCCATGAGCTTCCAGATAGCTCTTGAGAGTTGCATCTTCTTCGGGCGACCACGGTCCTCTCTTCACGTTAGCTTTGTCACAGCATGGTGCTCTTCCCATGGCTACTCACAGAGAGAGAGAGAAGAGAGAAGAGAGAAGAGAGAGAGTTGGTAAGGGACTCCTCAAGAACCTGTGGGCTCCTAGTGTGGGTTTTATAAAGTTGGTAAAGATTGACTCTGCAATCTTCCCTGACTCCTTCCCTATTTTCAATTTTAATGCTTTTGTTTTTCACATTTTAAAATACATTGCTACTTTGTTCTTTTTGCTCAATCTCAAGTCCTTTAGGGCAAAAAACAACTAATCACATGTTTCTGGACCATGCTGGATGGAATGGCTGATTATTCAATTAGCTTGATGAGACTTGACTTATATTCTAAGGTGAATAAACAGTTGATCTACAATGTCAAGTCCAATGGTTAGGAGTTAATGACGTACAAATTTATCTGTACACACACGAGACTACTTCAAACTTCAAAGGGGCCGGGTTTTCTCTTGTCTTTGTTTCATGTTTTTTCACTTTTTCCTTTAGTTCTTTTTCAAATTTTGGCTCCTCTTTTCTTTTTTTTTTCGGGTTAGCTGTTTCTGCATGTAAACTACATGATCTGTGTGATCAACACGGTATAAATATTTACTTTGACAAAACTGTTTCTTACTTCAGTGAGAAAACTATAGTTTGCTTTATATGGATGACAATAATGGAGGCACACTTTTTTAGCTCATGCCAAAAGCATCAGGTGGTCCACAAAGACAACTCCATCTATTAGAGCTCCCTCCTGGCCTTCTTGGTTCTTTCCTTTTTCCCTTTCAAATTTTGCCTCTTTTAGCAGAAGTCTAAGGCTCTTCCTTTAAAAGTCTACTTACTCCGCGCTTCTCCTCTGCTAACAATGTATCTAGCCGGTGTTTTTCTCTCTCTCCTTTATTACATGTGAGTCTTCCATTGACGCAATGTTTTATCGAATCATAGGACATTAGCCAATAAATATGAGGTAATCTATGCCCTAGGTTGGTTTTTACAAGACATCTGTGCACCTTTCTACCATGAATCTTGTGTACTCCAGACAGCCGTCTACTTATGCAAACTCAAATAACTAACTATTTGTTTTATCACTAATAGAAAACCGATATTCTAGATTTACCTGGATGATGAGCATGGCTTGTTCTATTTTCAATTGAAGCTTGACTGTTTCTCCTATTAAGTTGTTGCGGTCGGTTAAATCATGTTTAAAATGAAATTTGGGTGTATTTTATTCGCTGTCATAGGTTCTAGCCAAAGAGCAATCCAGAGACTTACATAAACAGAAATGGCGGAATGACAAGACTTGAGTTTTGATTACCTCGGTTGAGATACGGACCTTTTCCACTTAACCAAAATCCATGACATTGTCAGTATATAGGAATGATTCAACCTAGCTCTTGAGACATCCCTAAGTACATGCAATATCCTGATATTTTTCCAAAGAAGATGTCCAGCTCTGCCCAGTCTGCATGTCGTCTCTGATTCAAACTTACATATCTCATGTTGTAAGCGTAAGCAATGAAACGGTCAAGTGGTTGAAGCATTCCACTACAACGTACAACCTCGCAGATGTGATGTTATCAACAAGACGAGAGTTTATACATCCTAGTTACTAATAATTCCTACATGAAAAGCTTTAAATATGCAGCAACTGTCAATTCCAATACAATACTATCAGAAACATAACCCTCACAAACTTGAACAATTCACATCTCCCGATTAGTACAATAACACACTTTCCATGAAAAAAGAAGTTGTCATACACATTTTTTGGAGAAATTCCGGCTTAATGAGTCAAACCACGCCAAGAATGCTGCTGACTATTAGTTAGCTTGGAGGAAAATGGTGGTATTTCGTTTCTGTGCGGAAGAAATAAGAAATCAAGGACTGAATCAACCACAATCTAAAGTAAGTGAAAACTTATTGGCTAATCACTAAATGGGTCTCAAGACCTTGACTAAGATTAGCTGGTATTAAGGTGAGAATTCATAAACCGAGTCAATCATACCAACAAAGCTGCATCTTTTATCACGGGGTCGAGGTCTGTTTCTTGTAGCATTCTTAGAGCTCATGATGGAAATCCTGTTTCATAACAAGAGATCTCGAAGGACGATAAAGTCTAAACGCATTAACATACTCATGTCACATCTAATTCTACTCATAAGTTAAGCTATAGAGATTTCTCACCGACTGCTAATTAAGCATATTTAACTACTTGTCATCATTATACATATTATTGCGCAGGACTTAACCGTCAAGCTGCGCCTAATACGTGCACTTACGTTGGAGCGCACATCAATAGACTTTATGGACCGAGTCCGAAAGGAGCTGCTCGGGGTTGATTAACTTCAAGATCATCGCGAGAAACTATGATGAACACGGTTGATTTGGTAAATACCAAACGAAGTGGGTTGTATCTTTCACGTTCTAAGCCTTTTTTAACTCCATCAAGGATTAAGTATTGGTTGCATTACGTACTTCAAACCGAAGTTAAGTGAAGGAAAAAGTTAGGTGGCTTGAGTATTATGCAAGCCAGAGAAACCCAAGTGGAATTATTCTCGTGCCTTGGACCCAGTCTCATCCTGATAAAAGAAATTTAGAAACAGCTTGAGTGGTAAAAAGGAAATCTCTTATTTGATTGAAATGATACTTTATTTTAAACTCTCTGTCATGATCTCAAATCTTTTTTAAAAACCTACATGTTCATTGGTGTGGAATTCACTGTCCAGGCCTGTCTGGGATCCTTTTCAACAGTATTTCACCAAAACCTCTATGCTCACCGAACCTCAGGAAAGGTTCAAGGTTTACTCTTTGTTCGAAAAATATGTACAGATTCATAGAATGATAAAAACCCGCTTTGCGTTAATTATTCGGTAGTTGTTAGCTATACACAATAACGAGCGAAAGTGCAACCGATAAGGGATTCGCATCGCCAAGCTCTTAATAAGCCTTCTTAAGGCCTGCATTATCTAGAAACTGTCCATCTTGGAGAACAAGAAGCTGAGAAGTTTTGGGCCCTATGAACTCTTGACTGAACTGATATCAACCTGGAACTGGAAGAGAACTTCTGTCACGGTATGAGGACAGATATGGGGAAGAGGGGGGTGTTGTGTTGTCTTCTTTCGGGGGTAACCTCAACCTGCACTTGGGATTTTTTCAGAGAATCATTTTGTCTTGTCATGCCACAAAACTGAGGTTGTATCCGAAGCAATTATGAGATTCTTGCCTGTCACTTCACATGGCTGTATCGTGATCATCTTCATCGAGCTAAAAAAGGTCGGACTCTTCATGATCTTCCTTGAAACAGCTTTCTCCATTGGAGTGTGCAGTGACGAAACAAGGCCTGGACTTGGTCAACCCAACGTCGGCATTTCTCTCTTTTCTCTTTTTTTTTGGGTGGGTGATTTTTTTTTCTTTCCTACTTTTCCTCTTCCGTGATAGGACCTCGAGAGAGACCTGTTCAACGAGTGGGACTAATAAGTTATCTTGCAGAACTTCATTTGACCGTGTCCACTAAACTGGGAAGTCGGTTCTCGGGCAGTGCGGGAACAGATGGTTTTTTTTTGTTTATTTATCGTTAATGTTTAAAATGAAATTGAAGATGTTCCCGATAATTAGGGCATTCGTACAATTAATGAGTTACGTGTAACATCGTATGTTTCACAGAGATTTTTTCAATTTTTAGCAAAATTTAATTAGAATGAACAACTACTGTTGTATTTTGATTTGTTCGTACCATCTTATTCAAATGCATAAGTAAATGCAATCGCTCGAGCCTTCAGAGGCCTTCTTTTGTGAAATGAGAGATAAATTAGGTTTTCTTTCATAGATTTTTAAGAAATGAAAAGATCTAAAAAAAAATCAGTATAGTCCAGGTGGACGATTTTACACTTAGAATTGGGAGCCAGACCGAAATTTACCAATTCCAATTTTATGGAACCAGGAACTGGACCGATGTCCCGCGAATCGCCAGAACCAGCCAGTTCGAGTGATTTCTTTTGCTCACCCCGACACTCAACCACGGAGATTAGAGTCTCTAAAGCCTATCGTTAAGCGGTTCGATTAGGCTTTTCATACGTGACGACATGGTTTAGTCTCTCAATTAAGTCCATTTCTGAGTTATTTTAGGGAATTTAATCTCATGAATTACAAGAGATAAAAAAAATTTTAAAAAAAAGCTCGGTTTTGGCTTGATTCCATGCTAAAATCTCATTCTATTCGATTCGATTTCGTTGTCAAAAATTCGAGCCCGACACAGCTCGGTCCGACGTCCGAACCGAGCTAGACCGCAATGAGCTCGCCCCCTAGAACCGGGTCCGTCCGTGGACCGTGGGTACCCAGATTTCAATCTGCGGGGCCTAATTTTAACTCGAGAGTCCTCTATTTTTACTTCAATTGCAAAATAGGGTCCAAACAGCCCAGAAATTAGGAAAGAGGCCCATTTCGTCTTCATATCGGTCCCCTCTCTCTCTCCCTCTCGTCTCGGATTCACGGCACACTCAAGACTCAAAAGGTTCGGTTTTTGGTTGATTCTTTGCTTCTCTTAATTCTATCTTGATGGAGCTAGCGTTCCCTTGCTTCGCGCTGCATTATGTATCCGTTTGTTTCGCCCGGATTGATGTTCAATTCGTGCGCCGGTTATTGGGAATCAATAGATGGTTGAATTTCGCGCTATGGTTGAGTAGAGCTTTAGATGCGGAGGTGTTGGCTCATCATGGAGCGTGAACTCAAACTGGGAATTCTAGCTGTGTTCTTGTTCATGTTATGTGTCCGCGCGTGCGTGTGTACCCCACAGGTTTAGATAGATTGATTGATGATTTCAGGTCTCGGTTCAAGTTCATGTGCTGTGTGCACCATGCTTGGGTTTCTGTGTGGTGTTTGCTCTGTGTCCCTTTGGCCTCATTGAAAATGGGTGTCATGTATTGTTGGCGTGATTGGGGATTTGTTGGTAATGCTTTCTTTGTAAATGTTCCGAGTTTGGTAGGAATGCTTAATGTAATGATGCATACGTGAGGTGTAGAAGATGATATTGTGAACATGCCTCGTATTGCATTCGGGTATAAGTTTTAGGAGATTGTGCATGGCGGGCCTAGACTGAAGTTACAGGAAATTCGAAGACCCTTTTCCCGTTGGAGCCCTAAAACATTTTGAGATTTGTCTCACTGAATGGCTTGTTCACGATTCGCCTGCTGGCTGTTGATTGTGCTTCTCATGGAATGATTTTCAGGATGAGATGACATGACTGTCCTAAAGAGGTATGTGCTGAGGCTGTTCATATCATTGAAGTACGTCACGGCGAATGTCGTGGACCGGAATGACGGGCGGATTGTGGCCACAGCATCGACGGTTGAGCACTCCATCAAAAACTCTCTGGAGTGTGGCAGGTCTTGCAATGCTAAGGCCGCAGGTGTCATCGGAGAGGTGTTGGCTATGCGACTCAAGGTGGAAGGTCTTGAGCAGGGACTCGGGAGAGGCATTCATGTTGACATGAACAAGGAGATAGAGAAGAAAGGATTCAAGAACAGAACAAAGATCTGGGCGATTGTCAATGCTCTAAAAAACAATGGCGTCAAACTCATCCTTGATGAGAAAGAGGACGATCCTCTTCGGCGTAGTTATTAGACGGTTCCTTCCTTTTCACTTTCATCTTGCTGAATGCAGTGAAACCGAAAGATGATTTGTACGAGACTACAATGACCTGTACAAGATGTACGTCTTTGGCCTCGAATGAGCCCGTGCTGGAACGTTGCTCCTTCGGCTCTCGAGTATGCTGTGCTGAATTTGGGCCATCTTTCTCCTCTGTGCCCACAGTATTGGCTCCTGGGCTGCAAACTCGACTAAAGGACTATCGAAGCATTTTAAGATGTGTTCATTTACGATGCCCGGATCAATCACCAATCTGCTGAGTTTGTTTTCTTTTCATTTGGTTTTGGAAGCAGCATTATCGAGCTTCTCTGGTGCGCTTATGTTCGCCAATGAGTGAGCTTCCTGTCTTGGTTTACTCTTGAGACCAAGGCTGAGGAAAGGATCTTTTTTCTGAGTTTTGAAATTGCCTGATTGTTGTACTGTATATGATATCCATCAACCTCTATGTCTAAGTGATTATTTTGAATTATGACTTTATAGAAGTTAAGAGCAGCAGTCTAACTCTAGTTACTATAAATCTCTGCTTCTGGAAACCAGAAAGAGCTAGAAGTCATCCCTCAGGTTCATCACTAAGTGTTAAATGTTGAGATGCACTCATCACCTCCACAAATCTCTACATCAAGGGTCAGTGGTAGCATTGTATTTTTGGTTTGAATGATACAACTTGCCAACTTAAGATAACATTGCCGAGGAAATCAAGCAGCAAAACTCAGACATTTTTGCCAAACTGAAGTTTAACTTGCCAACTGATTCATGATTGTCAATTTATTAGTTACATTAATGACGCGGTGTACCCAATCAATCGCATTGCCCTTTGTACTTTGATCTACAATTCGTGCGCTTGCGTTGCTTCTCCTAGTTTCATTCCGATGTGATGCCCCCAATACATCATCATCCACAAAATACCTTCTTACTTAGGGCTATGACCAATAGCTGGGGAAATAATTTAGATACACTCGAGCAAGTTTTTTTCTATTCCAAAATGTAATTCGAATTATTCATTATTCTACTTTTTTTTGTGTGGATTCAGTGTTATTTTTTTTAAAGAACATTCGCAGATGTTATTTAGTAAAAAATATATCCGCTCATAGATCAATAGGCATAGGCATGTATAAACTCTTCACTTAGGACAATTCTATCGCTTCGTAGGGAAAAATTGAAACATTGTTCCGTGTCAGTAAAATATGAAAATCATTGGTACCGTCAAAACTTGTGGGCAATAAAATTTTGACTGGCAACTTATTTAGCGGACAATAGATTAGTCACTTACCAATTCTTTTGTAAAAGTGAATTTTAAACTATTTCGACAATTTATCAAATGGTAAGTGAACTCAAATAAGATTTTATAATTCTCTATTAAAGTTACAATTTTAACACATTCATAAGCTACATAAACAAATATCATTAAATTAGTGAAATTTGAAGTAGTCCAGCAACTATGGTTGAAATACTGGAAATTTATCAAGAACTGCATAAGTTGTCTGTCAAAATTCTATCACCGATATTGACAGTCATCACTGTTTATCCAACCAAGGAGTAGAATCCTGCCGCCGCCTTCTTCTTCTTCACATATCCTGATAACGTCGCCTCCATTAGCGAGAGAGAGAGGGAAAGCAAGGAGGAAAAAACCATGGCAATGGCGGGTCGAGCTCTGCTTCTGCTGAAAGGAGCAGTACCCACGAACCATCGCCGTCTCCTCTTCACCCGCAACATCGTCACCTTCTCGAACTCCATCCCTCTTGTTCTTCATGCCAGACCCGACAGAGCAATCATCCGTAGCTGCTCAACCTCGAAATCTCCCTCCTCCTTCTCCTCCTCTCTCGAGCCTCCGGACTTGCCTCGCTTGGCTGAAACTGCCCGCATTTCTCTCACCCCCCAGGAGGTATGCGTTACGGTGTACACTGAACGCGCTCCTTTTGTGTTCTTGCGTCTGTTTTCGATCTTTATGCTTCGGTTTCCGTTCCAATGCTCCCGCTTTTTTCGTCTCTAGATTGAAGAGTTCACTCCGAAGATTCGACAAGTGGTAGATTGGTACGCCTCTCTCTATCTCCGTCTAGAAATTCTCGTCATTCGTTGTGAATTGTCTCGATTATGGTATGGAAATTAATAATTAGCAGCATCACTTGAGGGGGGCTTTTTGTGATGATCAGTTTTGGCTTCTTGATGCTGCCTTTCCGAACGAGGTTTACAACCTGTTAAAAATTTCAATTTGGTTTAGTTCACCCTTTAACACTCCGAATCGCAGACTAGTTTTATCCACTCCTCTGTTACGGGCTTTTCAGGAGTTAGCTTAGTTATGCAAGTTATAGATTCCTGTGAATTGGAAACATTAATGTTGGGGATGTTGTTAATTGTGATGAGCAACTCTTTCTTGCAAACGATATAGACATTATCTGGTCCATGCAGTTCAATTTTCGCGATCTTTTTATGCTGTTTTTCGGATGGTGTGCTAATGTCAGGTTTGGACAGCTTCAAGATGTGGAGCTCCAAAGCATCGAACCCGCATTAAGAGCAGGTTCTTGAAGCACTATGAGATTGTTAATTTGTCTTCAAAGCGTAGGCTGCATGTATCTTGCATCTGTTGCAGCAAAGTTGAGAGAATTTGCATTGTTCATCTATAACGTTTACTGGTTGATTGACCTTGTAGATACTGACAGCAACCAATTGCGTGTGGATGTTCCCGAAACGTTTGACAACAGGTCATAGTTTTCCCTTTCGACTCTTTTTTTTCAGGTTACTGTGCTAGTGGTTGATTATGTATTGTTTTTACCTCTAAGTTGAAGCTTGACTTTGTTCTGTAATAGGGAGGCCTTGATATCTTCTGTTCCAAGCTACAATGAGCCATTTATTAAAGTCCCCAAAGTTTTGAACAAGGAGTCGGAGTAGATTCATCCGTCTCCAGGTAAGTTTTTGATATGAAGATGCTTTATTGGCACAACTTGATGGAAAACCTGTGAAATTTGAGATTTTCATATCTTGTTACAAATGACAGCATTGTACACTATGATGAAATAGCAATCTTTTGCTGATCACTTTGCTTTAGCTTATGAATTTGAGTTGGATTGCGTTTCGCTGTATGTAGGGGGTGGCATTGGCGTCCAAGAACTTGCTCCTGTCTATGATTGAACTCGACCAATCATCCATGCTTTAGCATCTCACAGTTGACGGCAGTATTCCACTCCACCTTTCAGACATATTAGTGCCACTGGAGTAAGCTAAGATTTTTCAACATGAGGCAAGATGTGAGTCCTCCATAGGGTCGATTCTTGTTTGGATACTCATAATTATTTAACATTATTTGTTAGAACTTATTGAAGTAGAACATGAAGCTGGCAGTGTTAATCGTAGTGTTGGGGAGTGCTTATCCGACTTTTCCAAGTCGATCACCGATTAGATGATATGTTTGGTCTGGCATTGCTGTAATGAATAATGATGTGTAGCAACTATGGCTTTACCTTGGTGCTTACAAGGTGGTATGATATTTCACTTTGCATTTCAAAGAATCAAGAAGGAACTACTTTGGCACATCCTTAACTACTTCGGTACTCATTTTCTTGCCCCATAGTCTATTATCTGATACAATGTCGAGGCTTCTTTGTGTTATCTGGGTTGTCTTCGCCTTCTCCAAGTTCCAAGACATATGTAAAGCCCCGCAGCTTAGTATCAAAAGCTACTGTCTGCAAAATCCAAATGCGAACCAAATGGGCATGAACATTGGTCACAATAACAAATATGGATCTTGGTCTGTTTACTGATTGTTATATTGATTGTGTGTAAAAAACAGCAGATTCTGAAGGTGGTAAATGTCTTCCATGAAGCACAAACATAGCCTTCTTTTCTACTGCTTTTAGTAGAACATTCCTCAAAGATTGCTTCTGTGTTCCACAAACAGAGCGCGAAAGATCCTCTATAGCTTTTTTTCAGCACCTTGAGCTTCGATGTCGCCTCCGGGTCAAAGGAATCTGTCTTATTGTTTCGATCTTGCTTATATACACGCCCTCGTTGTTTAAGACAGACGTTGTCCTTCTACCTCTCGTTCGTTCGGTCGAGCTACTTCTTCAGGTTGGTCAAGAGCTCGTCAGAAAATTCAATACATTTTAGCTATCTTCTTTTAATTTTCCCTCAACTTTAGATAAATAAGACTAATGGCCATCATATCTCCGAAATAGGACTTACCCTTTTCAAATTGCATTAGACGTACGCAGATTGATTTACTAAATTAATATACGCACTACTTTGTTGTATCACTTAAATCTCACTTTACACGATTATCACTTATCTTCGATGAAACAAGTCAATCATTTCCAATGACAGCCTTATGCATCAATAGACCTGTGAATAACAAAAATCAAGTTTAAGCATAGAATTTAAGAGAACGAAAATCTGCACACGATCTAAGGATGGATAGCTATTGAAAAAGAAAAGTAGGGAAGATCAATTAGTATACGAAAATGAATACAAAGCTATGTATTACCCTCCTTGATATATACAAGCTACAGAGTGAAAAAAATAACTGCAAGCAGTACAAGGGGGTAATTTCCATGAACAAATGCCTCTCTCCCATCTATACATTTATTCTCTTCTCTCTTTCCTGCTGTGTGTCAATTTCTCACCCTATGTGATCTCTGAAAAAGGGTACAAAAGGAGGGCTAGATTCAAGAGAACAAAAAAATCGTGTTAGCGAGCAATTGACTGTTAACAGATGCTATCACGATTGCCAAAACAGCTCAAAATTACTACTATACAGCGACCGATCTTGAATTTCCAGATTCGCCACGTGCCAATTGATTAGTTGTGACTGCAAGATTTTACAAAGTACCAGTCCAGCTGGGAAAATCCACCATTCACTGTCATCCCTGCTACCAAAGCCAGCAATAAGTGGAAAGCATGAGCTTGTGTGTGTGTGCGCGAACTGTGAATAATGGTTTAGACTACAGTGTTACAAGAGAAGGCAATCCTCACAAGCTAATATTCCACGGCTGAAAGTATGGAAGCTTTTTGCCAGCTGATTGAGCGTTGTAGTGAACATATCCACAGAGAAATGCAATCCCCTGGTTCATGCCATATTTGTCAAGAAAAGAACTTCAAGAAATGATTATCAATACTCATTATTTCTCTAGCGCTCATAGGTATATGCTCCTTCGGTTTTTTGTGTGTGCATTTATTCATTGAAGTAGAAGTAGCGACTTACAACATTAACTAAAGATGTAACGTTCCACAGCGCATACACACGAGCTAAGCCTGCAGAACGCCTGGGTCCATGACTGAATAAAGCATTGATTCCCGCAGGGAAAGGAAGAAGAATCCCAAGCGGTAAGATGAACAAAACCAGGAAGGCATCGGCCAACGAAATTGAGTACAACTGAAGCAGAGTCAGCAATACCAAACTGAAGTCCCCTAAAAGTAACATTGAGATGACTAAACCAACAAGATCCTGCAAGAATTCCCAAAACCTTATCAAAAATGATATGAGGGAGAGGATAAAGCTTGCTCAGGAGCCCAGCAGCAGTAGCAGAGCCTCTTTATGGCGAAGTGGTAGAGTGAAAATTTTTCTTTACATCGGTGGATGAGTTGGTGATGTTAACTAAGATGAAAGAATCTGCGTGCGCAAAAAAGTGTGCCTGTGTAAACAGAGTAAAGAACATACCTGGTGGCCAACAGGTTTTGTGTTATGAATCATGAAAGAGAGAAAATAGAATAGATTTCTTTTCTCTTCCAGCATCTGCAAATTGTTCAAGTCTAAGATTCCACCTAAAGTCCTCTTTCGCCTCATATGGGTTTCACTGCTTCGAAGCCGACTAAGAAGGCCCTCCGCCAAGTCAGCCGATGGCATTTCTTTATGAATTCTCCTTGCACTATAAATGTAAGTGAAAGCAAAAGGCAGAAGTGTAAATAGACCACAATCAAGAAGAATATACTGTACTATACACAAACAGAATCAGAGGGCTCTGCACCCTACTCACCTCTGAACATAACTAGTAAGCATTAAATGACTTGAAAGGTTTTGTTATATGTTTGTGGTTTTGCTGTGTCTTCACAAGGAAACTAGCAAATTAAATGATTGGTAAGAGTTTGTCATTTGTTCATGACCATAGGTGAAAAGCACCCATCACAATGTTCTTTGTTATGTGAACATGTCGCAGACTCGCAGGTGTATTGTGCTTCTGTTTCCTTATGCCCTCCATAAGAAATCACCCCCCCCCCCCCCCCCCTGCTTTTCCATCTCTGATAATTAGAACAGTCACAAATACAACAGAGACGAAACAAATGTCGACAAAACCTACTTTCCTAAATTACGAACTTAACATCTTTGATGCCACCATCTTATGTAGGTAGGTAACTAAGGCCAGTAAAGATTAATCACAAGCAAGACCTTTTCCATAACGTCATAACTAGATAGATGATAAGTAATAGACATTTTACTGGAAAAAAGCATCAGAAATTGATACCTTGATCGCTGCTCTGTTCGTGTAGGCTCATGTCTGCTTGGGGAAGACACAGACTGATTTTCATCTTCAATAGCATTCACCAAAAGCCCATACTGGCAATAACCACAAGCTGTTGCCTGGAACCAGGCAAGATTAACACGCACGCCATGGATCCTCAGAGCAGGATTAGCATGAGTTTCAAGCCATCGCAGGACAGATCGAAATGTCACCCTCAATCGTCCACGACGGACTAGGCGCAATTGTGCATTCAAACCGGCCACAAGTCGATACCAAGTCGTAGGTGGAACAGACTGCAAAGTCAAAAGTGTCCAAGTCAACAGAAAATACATAAATCACACAGCAACCAACTGGCCATTAGAACTTTTGTCAACACCATCTTGTAACAAGTTGTGTATCAGATGATAACCTGGCTCAGGAGACAGGTGAGAATACTGTCGCTTTGAAGAGAAAAAGGAGCCACATAACTGCCGTCACCTCCAAAAATTATGGACATTGGAAATCTTTGAAATAGGCGAGGAGGAAGATCACTTCTTTTTTCATCTCCGCCAAGGAAGAAATCCAGATAAGCCAGCATAAGATCAGATGTTGCAGCCACCTATTAACACATAAATCGGCTCAATGTATTCTTCCCCTTTTTCCTTTCAACAGCTAAGATCCTTTGGATAAAAACAAGGAAAGCCCCATGTCGAAAGAGACTTTGCCATCTACGATATTAGTTTAATAGCATGAACAACAAATCACCATTACCAATATGGAACTGCTATAACATGAGTCTCTGAGTAATTGAACAAGAAGATGGGAGTATAATTCATCACAGTCTAGCCAAGAAATCACAAGTTTGAGACACTTGTCAGTAACATGTTCTTTTGGACATTGGTTAACCTTGAACCCAAAATTATGCCTTGAATGTGATTAATGAGAGCACAGGGCCCACAAGTAAAATCAATTTCTATGCATATTATACCATAGAAACAATGTTTATCAAGATTGAAAATCGGACGACTACAGTGTCAGAAGAATTCGGTAAGCAATCAGGATACCCCTCAAATATTTGTCATGAAGTTTTCTGAGTTAATGTTTTTATAAGAAAGTTAAATTTGTCAAAGCACTTAGTGAAAGTTGGTTTGAAGCTTGACACTTTCCGGAGAGTGGGAATTACTCTTGGATGTAAATGTTTTGATTGATACCGTCGATACTTTGTCTTGTCAATGAGCTCGTTTTTTGCTTTGAGCTCTTTTGATAAGAGGGTTGGCACCACTTTAGCGCCTTTCAGTAAATTTCTCTTTACTTACAGGAAAAACAACAAAAATTTCAACCAAAGAACTGTTAAGCATCTCAACTGTACCAGAACCAGTCATAATTAAAACAAATAAAAAGAAGAGAAATAGGGGACGGAAGGAAAACCACAATTACAAAGAAATACCAAATCCATATTCCCATAAACAATTAAAATCTCCAAAAATAGCACACAAGCGAGACTTAGATCCTTCAAAAGATTTTTTAACACCCTCACGAGTTCAATATAAGTTGCTTTTTACATGATTTCACATTCAAAAGGATATTAAGTGTCACATTTTTTCCATTAAGAGATAATAACATTTGTTTGCCACCCGTATTTAACCTTTAGGTTCTTTCATCTTTAACAGACTCAATTCTCTCGCTCATTCATCTTGTGCATTCCTTGATTATTCCTCTCCTAATTTCTCTTGGATTCTCTTCTTACTTGCTTTTCCTCCACTCGTTGTCTAGCTACCATTATAATTTTTAAAGAAAAAGATAAAAGGGAAAGTGAACCCTTTTGATTTCCTCCCAATCTTTACCATCTACACTATTTTTTGCAACTGTGATGGCCATAGGAAACTTAAGTGTTCACCTACCCGAAGATGACCATATAATTTACAGGAGATTCAACCAGCACTTCAAGAAACATATACCTTAATGCCTTCATAAAGAGCCCTTGAACGGCAAGAACGTAAGCAGGCATGATCATATTCTGATCTAACAAATTCACGTAGACGCTGCAACTTCATTCTTCGACGCCATTGCTGCCATGA